CCTAGAATGTACAACTTAATAGATTTAAATGTCATTGGGGATGTGTATGTATTAATGTCATTTTTTGAATAAAATTAGCCGCATAGCCCTACAGTAGTGGAAAAAATTCGCCCCGCTACACTAGAGGAAAACATTTCGCCCCACTACACTAACGAAAAATTTTTCACCCCCTACACTACCGAAAAATTTCGCCCCCCTTGAATAGAAATCCTGGATCCGTCCCTGATTTCCAGTACAACCAATCCCTTATATATTGTTCAGATTCGAAACGTTAGAGAACTAGAGAAGAGGGGAGAACTGAGAAGAAAAAATGTCTCAGGGACCAGAGGCAGAGAAGACTCCACATGATCCATTGAGACCATGAACTCATTGATCTCTCCTGTTAATTAAAGCACACAATAGAGATGTTATCCTTCTTGTTAGTCTACTAAAATGGCTGATTGATAAGAGAGGTGGGAAGATAAGAGCTAATTTTGCAGATGGTTAGTGGTTACTGCCTTACTGGTATCCCTCATTCTGAGGAGGAACAACGAGGATGAAAAGGAGACAGAGGGCTGCATATATGGCCTAGGATCACTTTAGAAGCTAGAAGGATATAACGGGGAAGATAAAATAATTTTAATTATTAAATAAAATAGTGGTAATTACCCGTTTGATCTACTTTCATCAACTATTTCATTTATAGCCCAACACATTATTCTTTTCAATATTAAACTTTTTCCTTTTCTGTTGGGAAAAATCATCAACCAATGTCAAGAAATAAATAGCATTGCAAGTAGAGGGAGTTTTATAGGGTCCCCACAAATCACAATGAATTAATTCCAAACAACGAGTAGCTCGGCTATGACTAATAGGAAAATAATCACGGACTTGTTTGGCCTGCGGACACACCTCGCAGGTTTTATTCAAAGACTTCTTAACAGAACTAGTAATAATTTGAGGTAAAAGCTTAAGTACTCGATCCGATGGATGACCCAATCTCCGGTGCCATAACTCAAAATCTGACAGATCCGACTTGTGCACGGCATGTAAAGCTGGAACACCACGGAAAAAATAAAGCCCATCTCGCCTCTCACCGGCTCCAATCAGGTTCCTCGAGTGTGGGTCCTGAATAGCACAAAATAAATTAGTGAAAATAACGTTACATGCCAACTGATCAATTAATTGCGAGATAGATATGAGGTGACAATTCAGTCCCGGTACATAAAGCACATGGTCAAGTGCTAAGGATTGAGATAAATGTACACGTCCCTCTACTAAGGCAGCTACTGTCCTTCCGTCAGGTAATCCAACCGGACAAGCTTGAATCCGAGTGCGGTGTTCGAGACATGACGCATCACCTGTGACATGGCGAGATGCCCCAGTATCAAGTATCCATGATAAGGTAGAACACGTACCTGACATTCGGTCCCCCGGGCTAGGCTCAAAATCAATCAGTTTCAGTAGAGCCTGGACTTGCTCCGCGGTCAAGCTATCCAGCCCGTTGACCGATCTGCTGGAAGAAGCAGACTCGCTGCCACCCGCTGGCAGTAGAGCTGGGGATACGGCGTGAGTTCTAGCAGCCCCCCCTCCACGGCCAGCGCCCTCACGATCCCCACCGGTGCTTGCTTTGTTACGATTCCGCTCCTCCCACCACTCCGGATAGCCATGAAGTTTGAAACAACTCCCGATTTCATGCCCTTTTTGTTTACAATGACTACACAGAAGCTTCATACGTTCGGCCCGATCCGGACGATTTTTCGTGACAGCGAACGCATGAACATCAACCACCGGGGCCGGCTGTTTTCCACGAACAATGGCCCTCGAATTTTCTTCTTGAAGAATTACCTGATGCGCACGGTTCAGGTCTGGAACAGGAGTGTGTGAGAGCAAATTAGAACGAGTAGTGCCATACAATTCGTCATCAATCCCGATCAGGAATTGGTGAAGTTTTTCTTCTTCCCGGTCCGCGGTGAATTTCCCAGCAACTCCACATGTGCACAAACCACACGTACACGTGTGAAGAGGTTTAAGCCGGCTCAGTTCGTCAAACAAACCCATCAACGTTGTGAAGTATTCATCCACAGACGTATTTTTCTTCTGCCTGCACTGCGTAATAGATGCGCGGAGTTGTTGAAGGCGTGGTCCGTTAGCAACGCTAAATCGTTTCTCCAAATACAACCAAAGTGCTCGGGCCTCTTCATGGAATGGTATGGATACTACCACATTGGCCTCCATGCTTCTTAACAACCAGGAAACTATCATTGAGTTGTTAGTTTCCCAGTCTAGTATTTTCGCCGCTTCGGTCGGTTTTGTGAGGGTTCCATCCACAAAGCAAAATTTGCGTCGTGCTTTTAAAGACAAGGTAATCGCGCGAGACCATCCCACGTAGTTGTCGCCTTTAAAAATCACATGAGTAATAAGATTTCCGGGCTGATCACCGGACCCAAGATAATATGGGGAAGAAAGATCGGCGGCCATGGCAGCCGAGAAGGAAGACGCCGAAGACTCCTAAGACTGCTCTGATACCATGTTGCGGTTTAGACTCGGTATTGGCCAAAGAAAATCATTCCTCCCTTTTCTCAATAGTTTACCAAATATTTATACATGAGATGGCCGAAAAACACAAACCCTTGGCCCAAGAAATAATGCACAAGACTAAATACAATAAAGAATATACAAGCCCAAAAATATAGATCTAACATTTTCAGTTTTATGTTTTATATTTCAAACTAAAACCTAAACCATCCCAGCGTAATAATTCCCATCAGCATCCAAAGCTCCACCACCGAACAAAGTCCTTTCTCCCCTCTCCACGGCAAAAGCACTCGAGAAGAAGGTATAGCTCCGAGACGAAATATCCAGCCTCACCCTCACTCGAGAAGAAGGTATCCCCTCTCCACGCAACGAGTCTATGTGTGTGAGTGAGGGTGAGGCTGGATATTTTGTCTCGGGGCTATACCTTCTTCTCGAGTGCTTTTGCCGTGGAGAGGGGAGAAAGGACTTTGTTCGGTGGTGGAGCTTTGGATGCTGATGGGAATTATTACGTTGGGATGGTTTAGGACCTCAGGTTTTAGTTTGAAATGTAAAACATAAAACTGAAAAGGAAAAAGTTTAATATTGAAAAGAATAATGTGTTGGGCTATAAATGAAATAGAGTTGATGAAAGTAGATCAAACGCGTAATTACCACAATAATTGGGAACAAAAATTCTATAGGTACCCCAATTTGTACCCACCCCCCTGAATTGCCTGTGTACACAGACAATTCGTTTGAAAGAGGGCAGAACTTTCTACCCAAATGTCTGTGTACACAGACGGTGTACACTTTGGGGTACAAATTGGGGTACCCAAGCAGCTCTCAATTGGGAACCCCTGGAATTCCTTTATGACGGAACGTTAACGATTTAGAAAGTTGCCAAATTAATATTTGGAGATATTGATCTATTCCAACAATCCACAATAATGAAAAGAATAATGATCTTGTTCAGCCGGGGGATAGGAGCCGTTGTCCGGACGCCGCCTTTTGGGGAGGTTCCTGGTGGAAATTTTTGATGAATTGTTTTGAGCATGTTCATAATCAAGTCTAGTTTATCCACAAAAAATATCAACTAAAAATTCGATCAGGAAGGTAGTCAAATAAATTTGTGAATATAATTGCGCTGAATTATACTTATAAAACACAGTTATTTTCCAAAATTTATTTGATTGTCTTCCCGGTCGAAATTTTTGTTGAAATTGTTTGTGGATAAACTAGTCTTGATGAGAAACATGCTAAAAAAATTTCATCAAAAAATACCACTATAAACCACCCCAAACAGCGACGGCAGGACGATGCCTTCTGTTCATCCAAATGGATGAGATCTTTTTCCATCATATAATTAATTTGGTATATTAAAAGATGTACAAATTAAAATAGTATAGACTATTATCAAGGAGATAGACTAAAAGATTTAGCATGTCTTTAAATTTTTATGTTTTCAATCCCCTGATAGGACTTTAGTATTTGCGTGATGCCACTTTGGTTGTCACAATAATGTGTGACAATGATGAATGTGGAAAATTAAAGGGAAAATTATTATAAGCCCCTGAGGTTATGGCATAATTATTAATGCAATTTTGCATTTTCAAAAATCAATTAATTACCCCCTAAGTTTTGATTGTTTTCATTGTTTGCCCCCTCACGTTAATATTTATGAAATTAAATTTAATATAACTCTTAAATTCAATAAAAATTATTTATAAAATTAAATTTTACAGTAAATTACATTTTTTTATCATAATTATAAGTCATTGTTATTGTTTACCGTTATTTTTATGCTTAGCTACTCAATCGTGGAATAATGAAAATAGTTAAGCGATAAGATTCACGAGTAAGATACAAAATATCATGAACTCTTATATTTTTTATTTTAAAAAGTTAAATATCATTTAAGCTTATTAAACTAATAAACTTTTTGTCAAGAATAAATCATCAAAATTACTAATAAAATTAATAAAAAATTAAACAAATCAAAATCTATGATGTATATTTTAGTTCTTAGATTGATAGGTTTCATTTATTCAGACCCTATATCGATACATTTTTTGTCTCTTAGGTCTCTTATAAATACTAGATCAATCTTTTAGGTCATGGATTGATAAAATTCAATTTTTTCTTGGTTCTTTGCTACACACGAAAGAAGTGGCATTGGTTCTCTGCCTTAACTACTTTGATCAATATTTATTCCACGATCGAATAGCTAAGTAGAAAAATAACGATAAAAACAATGACTCATAATTATGATAATAAATTGTGTTTTGCAGTTTTACTGTAAAAATTAATTTCACATGAGGGGGCATGTAGTGAGAATGATCAAAACTCAGGGGGTAACTAATTGATTTTTAAAAATGCAAGATTGCATTAATAATTATGTCATAATCTCAGGGGCTAATAATAATTTTCCCAAAATTAAAAGAGGGAGCAACTAAAAGAAAATGTTTGGCCAAAGGATAGAGGGACCCTTTCGATAATATCATCGTCTTAAATTTGACAGACCATATCAACATTACTTCCCTCTTATCTTGAATACATCAACATTCTTCTTGCACCAAATCAAATATTGTGCTTCACCAAAGAGGTGATTAAATAATAATTTATTGAGATGATAAAGGAAGTCTCTGGTGTGTGATTGAGCACACCATTTTCTTCATCCTTCCCCTACAACTAGACAAACAGTGCAGGCTGAAGCGGTTAAAAGCTCTAGTGTCATTGACTAAATTGATTGGCGAGCAGATAAAATTGCACCAAGTGAAGCATGACCTCCCACAAAATTGGCTGTCATACACCGGCAGGAAGCCAGGAACCTCCCAGAAAAGATGAGAGCGTAGTAGGATGATGAGCAAGATGGAAGGCTAAAGGTAAACCCGAGACGGAGATGGACAACTTTGAAGGGTGGCCTTAGAAGAAGGGGAGGAAAATATTTTACTTCAAAATTCCTAAATTTTAGGGAGAGCATTTGATTGAAAAGATTTGAAGGATTACCAGAAGGCTCCAAAATCAAATCCTGAGATGCGCATAAACAAAACCAAGCAGGAAAGAAAAATATCAAGTGATCACTAAATGGCCCAGAAGTATTAACTGGTAATAACAACTTCTTGCATTTGCATCTATACTTGATGGATAGTCTACCCGGGGGTATCTTATCCGAGGGGTTATTGCGGGAATAACTTAGAGAGAAGTCAGAGCAAAATAGGAGGAGAGAGAGTCGATTTTATTAAATGAACTCGAGATGTGGAGTTGAGATGTAGATTGTGTTTTACAAGGAGAAATGGGCTGCTATTTATAGCAGCAATAAATGCGATGAGGGGACACGTGTCAGTAATCCAACGGCCGAAGGGTCACATCAGCCGGTTGGCACCGGCAGTGGTACGTTCACCGCATTGAATGCGGTTGGCGGATGTGACGTGGCATTAAATGCGGTGGTTGGCTGTCTCCAAAAGGAATCTTCGATGATTGAGCATGCTTGGCCGAAGGCCTCTGGTGTAGCCGAGGGCTCCGTGTAACCGAGGACCCCTGTGTAGCCGAAGGCCTTGTGTGACCGAAGGCTTTGTTCAGCCGAAGGCCTCTCTGATGCCGAGGGCTCGATAATACCGAAGGCTCATGTTTTTCGCCGTTTTCTCCCAGTAGCTTCTTATGCTAGAGAAGGCTATCCTGTGAGTTTTGGAGCCTTCGGCCAAGGAGGCCGAAGGCACCCCAGTGTGTGTTCTGGGTTACTTTGAGGCTCGGGCCGTTGCATTTGGGCCTGAGTTGTTCTCTGGGCTCAATGGACTTGTGTAGGAGAAGTAGGAGTCCATGGGTCGGGGGTTCCCGGGCCATATACTCCATCAGGAGTCCCTCACTCCTTTTGCCGAAAGGTACTTGAGGGAAAAGGAGTAGATGTGTTGGTTCTTCCGGAGGCTGCATCATTTCGTTGGGTGCCTTTGTTGGAGAACTCGTCTTCTGCTGATTGCCGAAGGCTTCCCCCAGTCCCTCACATGCCGAGGGTTTTCTGAAGGAAGTATAACGTTTGTATGAATGCCGGAGCCTCTCCTCAGTCCCTCACATGTCGAGGGTTTTCTGAGGGAGGCGTAAATAATATCTGTATGTGTTGTGATGAGGGCTGCCTCATTTTTGTCAGTGACTGTGGAAAATTTCTGACATTTTGCTTTGCCGAAGGGTGTAATGGTGTACGCACCCGAGGGATGCATGTGTCATTTGTAGGTTTCTTGTATGTGGCACATTTTCATTTTTAGTCGGGTGTGTTTCCCGAGGGGTGTGTCCCAGTCCCCCACTCCTTTAGGCCGAAGGCAAGTTCGGGGTGAAGGAGTTATGATGTGTTGGTGGAACCCGTTGTCTGAGGGCTGCGGAGAGTGATAACCGGAGGTTATCATTCGAGGGCGTCCCAGTGTTGTCGAAGTATAGTGGTTGTAATATAGCCGTTGGAAAAGAGCCGTTGGAGGGGGGTTCCACGTGGCGTGATTCAGTTGGCGGGTGCCACCCATTGGTTGAACCGGCGGCGTGTAATGATGGGCTTTCGAGTTGAGGCCCAGTTCTCGAGGCCCATCTGCCTATAAATACCCCAAGGCAGAGCTCAGTCCTCCTTGTGCGTTCATAAACTCTAGCGAAGCTCTGCCGAATTTTCTAGAGAGAGAAACCTTTGCCTTCGATCAAACGCGACTCTTGAGGTCAGTTCTTCCTCCGCTCTTTGTTTCCCTAGTGCTTTCAGCTTTTGTCGTCCTTAGGCTAAACGTTAGAGTCGCCTAGGAAGCCCTCTGTTTTAAACCCTTCGGACATGTCTTCGCAAAGCGATTCTCAAAATATTTCCAAAGAGCCTTCGGTGCAGTCCGAGAGTATATCCGAGGTGGAATCCTCGAGTGAGACACTGTCGGCCAATAATGACCACGTGGTAGCTGAGGAGGTTCAAAACGCTCTTCGGGCCGAGATGGAGGCCGAAGACTTCGAGCAAGTGAATGAGGACGAGGAGCTGGCCCTCGCAATCCAAGTGGCCGAGGAGGAGGAGGAAAAGGAGAGGAAGAAGGTCACCATTGCCGTCCTACCTGCTCATAATGACGCCGATGCCGGAAGCTCCAGACCCCTCGATCCGGAACCCCTGAGTGTGGCTCCGGGCAAGAGGAAGAAGAAGACCAGGGGGCCCTCGAAAAGGAAACAAGCAGCTGTTGACGCCGGAAGGCCCGTAGGGATACCCGAAGGGCACTCATATCTGAACACTGCTGCTCTAGAGGTGAGGACGAAGGCCACACATGCGGAGTACGTGGCGACACAGTTCTTCGTTGGGCCTTCGGCACAGGTGGTGGAGCCGGGGCCGAATGACGTGCTTCTTCACGCCCCCCGCCGGCTGTTTCGCGGTGCATATCCTGTCGGTGGAGCTGGGCCTCCGGTTCCCCCTCCATCCCTTCGTGCTACAATATCTCCGCTTTGTTAAGCTCGCCCCTTGCCAGTTGACTCCCAATAGCCACTCTTATCTGGCGGGGTTTCTGTCCCTATGCCGGGAGAGGAAGGTAGAGCCTTCTTTGGACCAGTTCTTCCTGTCGTTCAACCTTTGCCGGGGAGGGCACTCTAATGCCGGGGGGTTTGCCAACTTGCAACAGATCCCCGAGTTCAGACTGTTTTCCGAGGTCCCTTCGTCCCACAAGGGATGGAAGGACAAGTTCTGCTATGTTCGAATGGCGGAAAATCCATTCGCCGCCCCCCTTCGGGACAACTTCAAGAGGCACCCGAAGGTCGGGAATGCTGCTCTTGTGAAGAATGGGAGGAAGCTGGCCGAGAAACCGGAGGGGTCAGACAAATTGAAGACCATTAAGGATGCTACCCTCCCGGAAGAACTCTTCAAGCTTAGCTTTCGGCGGTTCCGCTTGATGGGGGAGGCTGATGAGGAGTACCCTCTGATAGACAGGGTTTATGAGAGCGCCGAAGGTGATCGCCGGGGGCTTCTAGTTGTGTACTTAGGAATTTCTTGCTTTTCTTACTTCATTGTTCTGTTCTAATATTGGAATGCTTTTTTGCAGGCCCCGAGATGGACGCGAAGAATTTCGCCAGGCTGAAGAAGCAGTTGGCCAAGGAGCCAAAAAAGAAGGAGGCTGGGTCACATAAGCCCGTTGATGAATTCTTCCGCAAGGATGAGGCCGCCCAGGCCCAAATCGCCGGGACCCCCCCCCAAAGATGCCCCCGAAGCTGGTGCCATCAAAACCGAGGTGGCAAAGAGGAAAGCGCCCGGCAAAGGCGTCGTTCCCGAAGGCAAGAAAGTTAAGAAGTCTGTCAGTGCGAAGGGGGAGCCGGTGGTTTTATCCGAAGGTCATTCCTCTTCCGGCACGCCGGTGGTGATTGCTACTGCCAACGCTCCCTCGGGTCGGGGGGCTGAATTGACATGGCCTACGGAGAACGTGCAATTCTCCATTACGAAGGGGACCGCCATTATGCACGGCACCCTCAACCCGAGGGAGTTTTTAAATGGCGCCACTCCCCCGACGGATAAGTCGGTGCTGTCCAGGATGAAGGACGATGCCCTCGGCGGCAAGATCCTACAAGCTTCCGTCACTGTAAGATTTTTCCCTTCCTACTTTTGACTTAGTCCGTTTTGTTTAACATATTTTGATTTCCGAGCTTTGACCCTCGTTGTTCGATGATTCGATTTTGCAGGCTGCCCTCGGACTTGGTGAGCTCCTCAAGAGGTTGGAGGAATCACAGGCCCAGAAGCGGCAAGCCGATGAGGCCCTGGCAGAGTCCCGGAGGCAGCTTCGTGAGGCCCGGGAAGCCCTTCGGCTGGAACAAGAGGCCTTCAACCAAATCCTTGAGAATAGCAAGGTTATTGCCAGAGCCGAGGGGAAGGCGGATGCTGAGAGGGTGGCTGCTGAGGAGGCCAAGAAGGTTGCTGACAAGGCCGAGGAGGAAAAACGGGAGGCTATCGGTCAGGCGAAGAAAGATGCCGTTTCTGAATTTGTCGCTGGGGGATGGAAATCCGAGGGCCACAAGCAGTGGATAGCCTCGGTAATCGAGGAAAGCGTCGACGGCTGGGTCGGTGGCCCCGGGGCGATGTGGCTAGCTCAGAAGGGGAAGAGCTATTACGAAGGCGGTGAGTACTTCACCCAAGCCAACATCTACCGGAAGCTGGCTCGGCATTTCAATGTTGATCCGAAGACGTTCAAGCCAGAAGCCTACGGCCTTCCGCCCCTTCAGCCCGATGTGCGGATCCCTCTGCCCGAAGGCGAGGAAAGAGAGCTGCTTGAAGATTCTGAGCTAGCGAAGGAGGCCGATGACGAGGAAGTTGAAGATGACGCAGCCTCCAGGTCAAAAGGAGGCAATCATGAAGCTGCCCCTTAGGAAATTCATGTTTTCAATCTCTTTGTAATAGATCAGCGCTTCATCGGCTTCGGCCATTTGTAAACAAACATTTCTGCAACTCCCCAACAATTATCATGAATGTTCGCCTTCGGGTTTTGTTTTGTTATATGAATGGTTGCCTTCATTTTCGATTCTTCTGTGTGAATGTATGCCTTTCTTCACTATGTATTTTTTCCCGGAGGCCATAAGTTTGTGGACTTAGAAATTTTTCTAAGTGTAACTCCCTGCTAGCCCCCGGTTGTAGAGTAGAATCGCTGGGGGGTCGTTGTTGTGGACTTAGAAAGAAAATTTTCCAAGTGTGAAACCATTCATGAGCCCCCAGTCGTATATTGAGGTTGCCGGGGGCTTGTCGTTGTGGACTTAGAAATTTTTCTAAGCAAAACTTTTGTCAAAACCCTTCGGCTGCAAAGCAGAACCTCAGAAATGAAATTGTATCTTATGTCCTCGGAAATGCTGAGCCTTCGTCAGTAGTGTAGCTTTAGGTCATCGCCAAGTAGTTTTAGGGGCCATCGGCAATGAGTGTGTAGTTGAAGAATTGCCCCCCCGAAGGGTCTACATTTGTGGACGTAGTCATTTTTTCACGAAGTTTTCAATAGATGCTGTAGGGGACCTTCGAGTGTGAGACGTGCATGGCCGTCGGGGGATAGCACAAAATCAGGACCCCTCGGGTGCAATGTGGGATTACCGGGGGGTCGCTGTTGTTTTTTAGACTTAGTCAAATTTCCCCCAGATTTTCAACAGGCATTGTAGTGAGCCCTCAGATAAAGGAGTTTGATGAATCTCCTGCCGTTGTAGGTCTTATGAACTTGCTCCACCGATCCGAGGGCTTGCCTCCGAATGTGAGATAGACTAGCTTCATCGTGTAGTAAGCTTTTGAAAAGGGGGAGCCTTCGGCATATCATTTGCCGCTTAGTCTCACTGAAAATTTGGACTTAGCCAAGTTTTGGTGAAGTTCTGTTGGTGAGGCCTCTTCGTGGGCTTCCGGGGGAACCGTTTGTACTCCGAGCCTTCGGCTATGTAGCCAGACGACTTGTTGCCGAATGATTTTCTTGTGCCTTTGTAGGAGCCTTCGGTAATATATATCCGAAGTGTTGAGCCTCCGGGGAGAATAGTATCCGGGGAGTTTCCTTCCCCCCTACACATCTTTTTTTTTTTTTTTTTTTTTATTTTTTTTTTTTTTTTTTTTTTTTTTTTTTTTTTTTTTTTTTAGATGGTGTAGGAGAGGCATCTAGAAACTTGGTGTCTAGGAAAGGCTTGGCCTATATGGGAGGCAACGGAACAAACCGTTGGCTCCCCCTTCGGGAATGACCTTCCGATATCCCGAAGGGTTTGAGGGTCGTTTCCTCGGCCCGAGACATCGTCTGTTGCCTGCTTCCCCTTGGGAGATAGCACGGAAAGCGCCTCGGTTTTGAAAGTCGTCCCCTCAGCCCGAGACATGGTCTGTTGCCTGCTTCCCCTTGGGGGATAGCGCGGGGAGCGTTTCGTTTGTGGAAGTCGAATCCTGGGCCCGGGACATGGTCCGTTGCCTGCCTCCCCTTGGGGGATGGCGCGGAAAGCGTTCCTGGGAAGGGTTTTATTTGTGTGCGGGACACAAATAGCCGGGGGCACTTGGTACCAGCCGGAGCCGAGGGGTGTTACACCCCCCCGGTTTTTTTTTTTTTTTTTTTTTTTTTTTTTTTTTTGGAGAGTATGTAAAAGTTTGGGAAAACACTTGGTGTTTTCACAGAGTGGTGGGGGTGACCCATACACTTGGTACTTGGTACCTAAATTGTCGTTCCCCCTCCTGAGAGGAAGAGGCCTTGGGCCTATTTTGGTGAAGAGATGAGGGCTTGGCCGCTCATTTGTAGGAGAGAAAGGGGGGCCTTGGGCCGCTTGTACAATATGTAGGTGATGAAGGCTTGGCCTTTTGATTATTCTTCAAAGACGGATGGGGCCTTGGGCCATTGAAATTTACACTTGTTGAGGATGAGGGCTTGGCCGCTCATTGATAAAACTTTACCAGGTGGTGCACATTCCAATGTCTAGGAATCTCTGTCCCATTAGGACGTTTTAATTTGTATGTCCCCGGTTTGATGATGGCTGAGACAATGTAGGGGCCTTCAAACTTGGGCGCCATCTTCCCTCCTTCGGTGGGTAGACTGGCCTCCCTTCGTCGGAGGACGTAGTCACCCACCTGAAATTCCCGGGAGCGGACCTTGGCGTCGATGTATCCTTTGACTTGTCTTCTATAGTTTTCGGCCCTGAGGAAAGCTTGCTCTCGGCGTTCCGAGATGAGATGAAGGTCGAGGGCCATGTTGGCGTCGTTGGCCTCGGGCTTATATTGTTCCACCCTTCGGGTAGGAAGGGTAACTTCTGTTGGAGCCTTAGCCTCAAAGCCATAGCATAGGGAGAAGGGTGTTTCGCCTGTTGCACGCCGAGGGGTGGTACGGTAGGCCCACAAGATGTTGTGTAGCTCTTCTACCCAGCCTCCTCCTTCGGCTTCCAGCTTTTTCTTCAACCCTTCAAGTAGGGTTCGGTTGGCGTTCTCTACTTGCCCGTTGCCCTGAGGGTAGGCAACGGAAGAGAATGTGTGCCTGATGCCCCAAGCTTCAAGGAGGGCGCAGAAGGGGGCTGCCTCGAACTGAGTCCCGTTGTCGGAGATGATTTGTTGGGGGACGCCAAACCTTGTGAGAATGTTCTTGAGGACAAAGTGACGGCACCGGGCCTCCGTGATGCTGGCGAGGGGTTCGGCCTCTACCCATTTGGTGAAGTAGTCAATGGCCACAATAATGTACCTGTTGTTGGAGGTACCCCTCGGCAGAGGTCCCACTAAATCGATCCCCCATCTGGAGAAGGGTATAGCGGTGCTGATGGGAGCATAGTTGACCGCTGGTCTGCCGGGGGCCTTTTGAAAGTGTTGGCAAGCGGTGCACCTTCGGGCTAGATCAGCACAATCTCTAGCCATCGTGGGCCAGAAGTAGCCCTGAACTATGAGCCTTCGGGACATGGAGAAGGGTCCCTGGTGGGCTGAGCAAGTGCCACTGTGCACTTCCTCCATGGCGACTTCGGCCTCATCTTGGTGAAGGCACCGAAGGAGGGTGCCGTTGTAAGATCTTTTGTAAAGCCTCCCATTCTCGAGGGTATAGCTGGGAGACCTCAGCTTTGCTAACTTGGCGCGGGCTTCGTCTTGGGGCAGTTGCCCTGTGGTGATGAAGGCGATGATGTCAGAGATCCAGTCCTCCGGCCTTAGGTGGATGTCCATGACGGGGCTCGCGTGGATGCTTGAGAGGCTGAGTTCCTCAATTCTTGCAATTTTGGAGAGGTGCTCGGGGGATTCATCCGAGAGCTTCGATAGAATATCGGCCTCGGAGTTTTGAGCCCTCGGTATTTGGGTGAGGGAATGTGCCTCAAATACCTTGAGCAACTCCTTAGCCGCTTCTTTGTATTGTTTCATCCTCCCTTCCTTGGCTTCGTATTCCCCGGAAATTTGACCCACAACAAGTTTGGAGTCACACTTGACGTGGATCATCTTAGCCTTCAGATTCGCTGCCAGCCGAAGGCCACATAGGAGGGCTTCGTACTCGGCCTCGTTGTTGGAGACTTTGAAGGAGAAGCGGATGGCATAATAGGCGCGGAAGCCCTCGGGTGTGATGAGAACTACTCCCCCTCCGCATGCTTTGGTAGCCGAGGAGCCATCGGTATAGAGGGTCCACCACTCATCGAGGGGTGCCGAAGGCTCCTCATCCACCGCTGATCTTGCGGTGCATTCCGTTACGAAGTCTGCCAGGGCTTGGCCCTTGATGGCAGGCCTCGGACGGATATCTATGTTGTATTGGCTGAGGAAGATGGCCCATTTCACCATCCGAGAGGAGCTAGTGGGACTCCTCATGAGGGCGCCGAGGGGTTGATGAGTGAGCACCTGGACTGGATGAGCTTGAAAGTAGTGGCCAAGCTTCTTGACGGTCCAAACGATCGCTAGCACTGTCTTCTCGACGGGAGAATACCTGAGTTCGGCCTCCCGGAGGGTTTTGCTGACGTAGAAGATGGCGTGTTGGATGCCGTCTTCCTCTCGGATCAGTACTGAGCTGATAGCCGCAGGGCTAACACCGAGGTATAAGTATAAGGTCTCCCCCACCTTTGGTTTGGAGAGCACTGGGGGAGAGGAGAGGTACTTCTTGAGTTCGTCGAAGGCCTCTTGACACTCAGATGTCCATTGGAAGCCAGCTGTCTTCCTCATGATTTGGAAGAAGGGGAGGGCCCTCTCGGCTGATTTAGAGAGGAATCGGTTGAGGGCCGCCAGGCGACCCGTCAGCCGCTGAACTTCTTTGACGTTGCGTGGAGGCTCCATGTTGATGATGGCCTGAATCTTCTCGGGGTTGGCCTCAATACCCCTTCGGCTGACCATGTAGCCCAAGAATTTTCCTCCCTGCACGCCGAAGGTGCATTTCTTTGGATTTAGCCGGAGGTTGAATTTTTGCATGATGGCAAAAATCTCCCGGAGGTCGTCGGCGTGAGTGCTTGCCTTCTTACTTTTGACGATCATATCGTCAACGTAAGCCTCCATGGTGCGTCCCAGGACAGCTTGAAAGACCCTAGCCACCATGCGTGTGTAGGTGGCGCCTGAATTTTTGAGGCCGAAGGCCATCACAAGATAGCAGAAGATGCCTTCGGGTGTCATGAAGGCAGTTTTTTCAGCGTCTTCCTCATGCATGTAGATTTGATGATACCCGCGGAACGCGTCGAGGAAGGACATAATCTCGCATCCCGCGGTCTCATCCACAAGTTGATCGATGTTCGGCAGAGGGAAGGGGTCCATAGGGCACGCCTTATTCAGATCCGTGTAGTCCACGCACATGCGGAAGGTAGGAGGCTTCTGTGCGAGGACTACGTTTGCCAGCCAAGAAGGGTATTTCACCTCTTTGATGTGCTTGATGGAGAGGAGCATAGATACCTCCTTCTTTACGAACTCCCTTCTCTCGGCCGAGAGGGGTCTTCTCCGCTGTTGCACTGGTTTGGCCGAAGGGTCTACCGCTAGGCGGTGGGTGATAACCCTTCGGTCAATTCCCGGCATATCCTCCGGCCCCCATGCAAAAACAATGGAGTAGGCGCGGAGGGCTTTGGTGATGCCAGCCTTCAAGTCTTCGGGGAGCTTGGCTCCAATCTTCAGGACTCTCTCCGGCTTGGCCGGATCGAGTAACAAATCTTCGGTCTCCTCGGCAGGTTCAGCCCTCGGCCTACCTTCTTCTTCCTCCAGGGCCTTGGCGGTGATGGTGTCCACACGTAGTTCTGTTTTACTAACCTTCTTGGTAAGTTGAAGGTAGCAGGCCCTGGAGAGTTTTTGATTCCCCCTCGAGTAGCCGATGCCGGTGGGTGTGGGGAACTTGAGGCAGAGATGCCTCATGGAGATGACGGCTTCCAAATCCTCGAGGGCGGGACGGCCGAGGATGATGTTGTGTGCGCAGTCGAGGTTGACGACGACGAATTCCACTTCGAGCTTGGCTCCATGGGATCCGTCGCCGAACTCAACCACGAGGGTGATGACGCCCTCGGCGTCTATGCTGTCCCCCGTAAATCCGGAGAGGGGGGTGTTGATGCGTCGGAGGGACCCCCTGTCGAGTCCCAACTCTTGAAAAGTGCTGAGATACATGACGTTGACAGAACTCCCTGTGTCAACGTAAGTCCGGTGGATGATGGCGTCATTGATCTCAGTGCGGATGACGAGGGCATCCCTATGCGGCAGGGAGCCCGAGGGGAGGTCCGCATCTGTGAAGAAGATGGGATCCGCCCTCGGCCTTTTAGCAGGGGGCATGTGATTGACCTCCCCAATGTAGAGGGACTGTGCCCACTTCTTCCTCTGGCTCGTTGAATCGCCTCCGGTGTTGCCGCCGTTGATCATATGAATATGGCCCTTGTATTGTTGATGGGAGCCCTCTCCCTCGTCGTCGAGGCCCCCAATTTCTCGCTTCTTCCCCTGTGGGTTTCCCAAGGGGATGGTGTTGGGGTTCACCCATTTGTTAGCCTTCGGCGGAGGCCCTTGATGATGAGGGGGGCCCTGGGGAGGAGGGCCCCTGATGAACTGAGACAAGTGGCCCGCCTGTATCAGCCTCTCGATGGCGTTCTTCAGCTGATGGCAGTCGTCGGTCTTGTGTCCATGGTGGCGGTGGAAGCGGCAATACGGCTCATCAGGGCCGATGGCATAGATCTCGAGGGGTGTCCGGGAGTCTCGCTCCACGAGCCCTCGCTCTTCTGCATGATCGAGAATGACGCTGACGGGATGCGTCAAGGGAGTACGTGGGTGCTCAAGGAGGACGGGTTGTGCCCATGCCTTCGGGTTGTTTTTGTAACCGCCCCCGGTTCTGGCTTGGCCACCTCGGGGGCGATCGTTGTACTGCGCCTCTCGGTTGACCGGAGGGGGAGGTCCTCCGGGCCGATTCCTGCCTTCATTCTTCTGAGAAGGATCCGTGTTGCGGCGGTCCTTCTCGATTTCCTCCGCTTCAGCATATCGGTCCCCCCGCTGAAGGGCCTTTGTATAATCGCGGGGGGGATCAGTAATGAGGCTCCGGGAGAAGTTACCGTTGCGGAGGACGGTGTGGAAGAGGGCCATCAAGGTTCTGTCATCAGCACCTTCGACCTCGAGGGAGGCCTGCCTCCAGCGTTCTAGGAAACTCCGAAGGGTCTCCTCCTTCTGCTGTCTCACGTTTAGGAGGTGGGAGAAGTGTTTCTTTGAGCGGTGCCTCCCTGCAAATTGTGTAAGGAAGCGGTGGGCAAGTTCTTGCCAAGAATCAATGCTGCCTTCGGGCAACCGATTGAACCACTCGTACGCTGGTCCCTCCAAGGTGGAAAGGAACCAACGGCACAAGTATTCATCCGATGCCCCCATCATCATCATGCTGTTTTGATAGCGGCTATAATGCTCTTGGGGATCCGTCTTCCCCTCATACGGCTTGATGGGTTGCCCCCGATATTTGTGGGGGATTTTGGCCGCCAACACCCTTGGGGTGAAGGGTGTTCTAGTGCGGAGTTGAATGAGGGGTTCGCCTGAGCCCTCGGCGAGTTTACGCTTCATTTCCTCCACCTGCGCCCGGAGGTCAGCGTACTCCGGATCTGGCCTCGCTGTGGAAGCCGTCGGGGGTGCCTGACGATTCTCCTCGAGCTGACGGAGGAGGGCTTCAACGATTTCGTCCTTGGGATCCTTCGGAGCAACCCCTTGGGAGTTGGCCCGGAAGGACTGCGCCTGATTGATCTGGTGTCTGGCGTCATCGGCATGGAGGATTGCTTTGCCCTTGCTTCGGGGAGGAGGTATGCCTTCGGCTCCCGAAGCGGAAGCTCCGCTCTCCTGAGGCCTGCTGAATTCCTGTTTGCCGAGGCGGTCTTGGACCCCTCGGCGTATGGGAGCTCCCCCAAGCCTCTCAAGTGCAGAGGTCCGGGGTTTCTCCTTCATCAAGGGACGTTTATCCCTGGATTGGGCCTCTTGGGAGGCGGTGTCCTGTGCCATGACCCCTTCGGTGTTTCCAACCCCCGGGGGAGGATTGTTGAATAGAGGGGGGAGTGGTGGCAATTGAATAACATTTCCTCCAGCGTAGGGCTGGAGGGGTGCCTGAGAGGCGATGGCCCCGGAATTGAGGGCCATGTTCTGAACAAAGGCCGCAAAGGCAGCCTGAAGATCGATGGCCGGGGCCGGAGGGGGAACTTGGTTCTCACTCCGATCCCTCCTTCGATTATCAAGGCCAATGCGGGCATCGGGGGTGTTCTTCTGCAGCTGCTGGCGTAGGTCAGCGGCGGCTTGCTCTAACTCAAGGATGACACCACCCTCGGGTACCAAGAGCCTGTTGGAGGCCTCAGCCCCGTTGGTTTCGCCGGGGGCGACGTGGTTCTCCTCCAGGGTTTTAGATTGGGCACGAGTGGTTCTTCCCATCTTTTGGCAAGTGTTTTGTATTTGGTAGAGGGGGAGGGTTTCTTACTTGATAGTTCAGACCTCTCAACGAGAGCACCAAATGATGGATAGTCTACCCGGGGGGTATCTTATCCGAGGGGTTATTGCGGGAATAACTTAGAGAGAAGTCAGAGCAAAATAGGAGGAGAGAGAGTCGATTTTATTAAATGAACTCGAGATGTGGAGTTGAGATGTAGATTGTGTTTTACAAGGAGAAATGGGCTGCTATTTATAGCAGCAATAAATGCGATGAGGGGACACGTGTCAGTAATCCAACGGCCGAAGGGTCACATCAGCCGGTTGGCACCGGCAGTGGTACGTTCACCGCATTGAATGCGGTTGGCGGATGTGACGTGGCATTAAATGCGGTGGTTGGCTGTCTCCAAAAGGAATCTTCGATGATTGAGCATGCTTGGCCGAAGGCCTCTGGTGTAGCCGAGGGCTCCGTGTAACCGAGGACCCCTGTGTAGCCGAAGGCCTTGTGTGACCGAAGGCTTTGTTCAGCCGAAGGCCTCTCTGATGCCGAGGGCTCGATAATACCGAAGGCTCATGTTTTTCGCCGTTTTCTCCCAGTAGCTTCTTATGCTAGAGAAGGCTATCCTGTGAGTTTTGGAGCCTTCGGCCAAGGAGGCCGAAGGCACCCCAGTGTGTGTTCTGGGTTACTTTGAGGCTCGGGCCGTTGCATTTGGGCCTGAGTTGTTCTCTGGGCTCAATGGACTTGTGTAGGAGAAGTAGGAGTCCATGGGCCGGGGGTTCCCGGGCCATATACTCCATCAATACTAAAACCATTTGAGCTCATCTAACACCTGCTCGACAGTAGAAAATGAAAAGAACAATAATCATCATCATTATATTAAAATAGTAACAACAAGTCAACAACTAATCAGCACAAAGTAGCTACGAAAGCAAGAATAGCACCATCATCTTCACAAGACAACAACTTTATTGTGCATAATCACAAACACAAAAGCAAACGCACTTCCATTACACAATCACAGACCAGACTGATTAGTCCAACACTTGACGAAAATACTAGAAACCTTCAGAAACCACCACGGAGACGGAGAACAAGGTGCAGGGTGGACTCCTTTTGGATGTTGTAATCAGCCAAGGTCCTCCCATCTTCCAGCTGCTTTCCAGCAAAGATTAACCTCTGCTGATCTGGTGGGATCCCCTCCTTATCCTGAATCTTAGCCTTCACATTATCAATGGTGTCAGAGCTTTCCACCTCCAGAGTAATGGTCTTCCCAGTCAAGGTTTTCACAAAGATCTGCATTCCACCCCTCAGCCTGAGAACCAAATGCAGAGTGGATTCCTTCTGAATGTTGTAATCAGCAAGGGTACGGCCATCCTCAAGCTGCTTTCCAGCAAAGATGAGTCTCTGCTGATCGGGTGGTATTCCTTCTTTGTCCTGGATCTTTGCCTTCACATTGTCAATAGTGTCTGAGCTTTCAACCTCGAGGGTGATGGTCTTTCCGGTAAGAGTCTTGACAAAGATCTGCATCCCACCCCTCAAACGGAGCACCAAATGGAGGGTGGACTCCTTCTGGATGTTGTAGTCAGCCAAGGTTCGGCCATCTTCAAGCTGTTTTCCGGCAAATATCAACCTCTGCTGGTCAGGAGGGATGCCCTCTTTGTCCTGGATCTTGGCCTTCACATTGTCAATGGTATCTGAGCTCTCAACCTCGAGAGTGATCGTCTTCCCTGTTAGGGTTTTCACGAAGATCTGCATCCCACCCCTGAGACGGAGCACCAAGTGCAGGGTCGACTCCTTCTGGATGTTGTAATCGGCAAGAGTACGGCCGTCTTCAAGCTGCTTTCCGGCGAAGATAAGCCGTTGCTGGTCTGGGGGAATACCCTCCTTGTCTTGAATCTTGGCCTTAACGTTGTCAATTGTGTCCGAGCTCTCGACCTCCAGAGTGATCGTTTTGCCCGTTAGGGTTTTCACAAAGATCTGCATCTGAATAAATCAAAGAGAAAATAGAAACAACAATTAAATACGTATGTTTCCAAACACTTTGGTTGAATCATTCATTCAAAGCCAGAAATCCGAGTAAGGAATAAGGTCAAAGAACAGGGCATCGGATCTGTAAATTTTCAAACATCCAGAAATTTAAATTGAACCCGCAGACAATAACTTGAAGTAATGCCGATTTTTATTTAATCAAATCCCTAAAACTGAATGCATAAAAAGATTAAAAAACGACGCACCGGATCTTCACGATCAATTTCAAACATTCAAAGAAACTTAAAGGAAGAACAGAGATGAAATTATACGCAAGGTCATACACTTGTTACCTTGAAAGGGCTTCGGTGGATATGAAAATACTCCGTATGAAAATAGATCGAGAATCAGATGACCTTGCGAATTACGAGATTGTGGAAGAGAGAAGACGTTTATAAAGGCGTTCAGGGGTGGGAAAACCGAACCCAAAGCACGAAACAGTGGCCCAGCCCGAATGACGTTCCTATCCAGATTTTTTCTTTTTAAACGGCCTGGATAAATAAAAAAACAGATTGAACTCGAAAATTGGGACTCCTCAATGATCCCTAATATAGTAAAATATATAACCCGTACTGGACCGAAAAAGAGCTTTAATATAAAATCAATATAATATACAAATATAATTTATAAATAATTCCTAATCTACGATTATAATTAAGTGGATGAAAAAATGACTTAATAACATTCAGTGACTACAAATATGTTCAATTTTATACCGTAATGGCCATGAAAATATACTTATAGTGACTTTAGTCACATTTTTATCCATAAGTTTTATTTCGTAATACTTTTAGAGAACATATATTGTTTATTTATATGCATCTTAAACAAAATATTAAGATAATGATCTTCTTTGGATTTGAATTGTTGGTGATTTGGAGACCAATATTTTTTTTGTGATTTGTATTTTTGATTAATTTTATTTGAAAATAGATTTTAAAATATAAAAAGATGAGATGATTTCACGTTCGGGCTTTAACCGGCCCAATCCGGACCGAATCCGGGCTACCAAAAATTCGACTCGGTCCGAATATAATGGGCTTTGTTCCGGTCCCTAATTTTCATAACCCGAGAACTTATGGGTAATTTCCGGGTTTAGCGAAAGCCCGACCCGGACAGGACCGATCCCACCCCTAAAGGCGCTCGACCGACTTTAATGGTATGTTTGTTTTGGTTATTGTGGGTTCAATTTTTATTTTACTTCGTCTGTAGAACTGTGTCCGAATAATCGAAAATTGAATCAAAATAATTTGAACCACAACTAAATAAAACCGAACTGCTAAAAAACTGAAACTGGGTGTAAAAATCGAACCGAATCGTAGTTGTTGGGTTCGGTTTGATTTTTACCATTCAAAACCAAACCAAATAAACCGAACTAATTAAAATATGAAATTTTATTTGTTAATTGTTAAGCATTAATTCTAACATCATCGATAGTTTTTAGTTTTCTTGTTTTACGTTTAGTTTAGTTTTTTTTTTACGCATTCATTGCCTATAAAAATCTAGCTATATTGATCAGTTATGTCTTTTATATATGTATGTACGTAGTATATTGCAATTTGTTGCATGATATATCATAATATGTTTTTACTGGTTGTTACTAGTAATTAATTTTTATTTTTATGTAACTTCAAGTTTTTTACGTTGATAGAACAAATAAATATTCATCTCAACTATATCACATATAAGTATATAACGTATATGTTGTGAATCCTTTTCATACTAGTCATAGACAATGTAAATTAAAAAAATGTACCCCGTACACTCTTATCTCTCCTGCATACTTATATAATTCAAGACATATTCATTTCTTCTCTTTTTTATTTTATTTTTTCTAGTATGTTTGCAGTTTTTATGTAATGTGTTTGATCCCTTCAACTATGCTATCATTTTAAATAAAATGACAAAATTTAGTTAAAAAATCGAAAAAACCGAAACAGAATCAAAGCAAACTGAACCAATCAAACAGTGGTTTCAAGTTTTGGGCAGATTTTTAAAAGTGAACTTGTCACAGTTGTGGTATGCATTTAATCAAACATGATATAGTTTTTTAAGAACATTTGGATATTGTAAACACGAAAAACTAAGCATGAAGGACTTGGTTGAAGAACATTTGGATATTGCAAACTTACATGAAGGAACTCCCCGGATACTATTCTCCCCGGAGGCTCAACACTTCGGATATACATTCCCGAAGGCTACTACAAAGACACAAGAAAATCTCTCAACAACAAGTCATCTGGCTACATAGCCGAAGGCTTCACCACATGAAGCCTTGAAGTACAAGAATTCCCCCAGAGGCCCAAGAAGAGGGCTCACGGGGGGAAGGAACTCCCCAGATACTTTTCTCCCGGGAGGCTCAACACTGCGGATATACATTCCCGAAGGCTCTCTCAAACATATAAAAGAATCTCTCAACACAAAGTCATTCGGCTACTTGCCCGAAGGCTCCCTTACATGAAGGAACTCCCCGGATACTATTCTCCCCGGAGGCTCAACACTTCGGATATACATTCCCGAAGGCTACTACAAAGACACGAGAAAATCTCTCAACAACAGGTCATCCGGCTACATAGCCGAAGGCTTCACCACATGAAGCCTTGAAGTACAAGAATTCCCCCAGAGGCCCAAGAAGAGGGCTCACCAATAGAACTTTACCAAAATTTGGCTAAGCCCAAAGTCTGGCTGAGTCTAAGCAACAAACAAAATGCCGAAAGCTCCCTCACTCTCAAACTTACTACACAAGGAGGCTAACCTATCTTACAAACCCGAAGGCGTGCCCTCGGGCCTGTAGGACAGCTTCATGAAATTTACAACAGCGGAGGGCTCATCAAACTCTTGCATCCGAGGGCTTACCACAACATCTATTGAAATTTTGTGGAAAATTGACTAAGTCCACAATTGGGGACCCGTCGGTGGGCTAACATGAACTTCACTACTACAACGGGCTTAGAACCGAAGGCAACCTCAAATTACTCGACGAGGACCTGAGGTTACACTATAAGCTGAAGGTTCAACGCCGCTGATGGCCTAGGATGAAATTAGCTTGGGAAACATCCTAAGTTTAATTCATTCTGGCCCTCGGTCCCACCGCTACAACCCGGAGGCAATCCCAATGGTTCATTGCCGAAGGCATACAATGGAATCTTACTTGAAAAGATTTTCTAAGCCCACAAATACATGCCCCCGACTGTCCAACACTACATCCGAAGGGTTCTGATCAAGGTTTTACTTAGAAAAGTTTCTAAGTCCACAACAACAAGCCCCCGGCGATCCCACGATACAACTGAGGGCTTATGGCTGAGTTTTTACTTAGAAAATTTTCTAAGTCCACGACAACAAGCCCCCTGCGATCCCACGATACAACTGAGGGCTTATGGCTGAGTTTTTACTTAGAAAATTTTCTAAGCCCACGACAACAACCCCCCGGTGATTCTACACTACAACCGGAGGCTTGTGCGGATTTACACTTAGAAAATTTTCCAAGTCCAGGAACTCTTGGCCCTCTGACAAACATGTGGAAGAAAAGAAACATACATTCATGCACGAAAGGAAGGCATATGAAAGGATAAAGCTGGAGGAAACAAACGGGTATTCATATCAAAAAGCCCGGAGGCAAAGCATTCATCATCAAGAAAAAAAATAATAATATTCAAAGTGACAGAAGATGTTTCTTTACATACAGGCCAAAGCCGAAGATCTACTCATCTATTACAACAAGAAGGAAAATTTTCTAAGTATTAACTACTGGGGCCTCCTCCTCGGCAGCCTTCGAGGTTGCATCGTCCCTGGTCTCTTCCTCGTCCGCACCACATTCCTGTAGCAACAAGGAATCACGAAGGATGGGCCTCTCCACGCCTTCGGGTAGAGGGACTCTGACATCCGGCTGGAGCGGGGGCAAGCCAAATGAGTCAGGGTTGAAGTCCTTGAGATCGACCCCCTGATGCGTTGCCAGCTTCCGGTAAATCAAGCGCTGGGTGAAGAACTCCCCCCCTTGCCAGTACTCATTACCCTTCAGCGCCAGCCATTCGGCACCGGGGCCCTTCGCCCATATATCGACCGACTGATCAACAACCGAGGCCACCCAGTCTTTTCGGCCCTCGGCTTTCCAGCCCTCGGCGACAAAATCATCGATGGCTTCCTGCTTGGCCAGAGTAACGGCTTCCTGCTTCGCACTGTCGGCCTCCTCAGCCGCCTTCTTGGCGGCCTCAGCAGCAACCTTTTCTGCCTCGGATTTGCCCTCAGCCTTGGCCTCCTCGAGCTTTTTAGCCGCCCCCTCTCTGTCGAGCTGAAGGGTTTCTTGGGTTTCCGCCAACTTCTTCTTGGCCTCTGCAAGTTCCTCACCCAGCTTCTTCAGGCCCTCGTCTGCCTGCACCTTGGCGATCCTCAACGCCTCCACCCTTCGGGCTTGCTCACTAACTCCGAGGGCCGCCTGCAAACATAAAAGAAACAAAGAAACCCAGGGGGTTAGCAAATCTGAAACTCACAAATGAAGAAAAGCGACTAAGTAAATGGAAGACTCACCATCGTGTTGTAGCTAGCTATTTTATAGTCGAGAACGTCGTCCTCGAGGCGAGATAGCACCAGCCTGTCCTTCGGGGACATCACCCCCATCATGAATTCAATAGGGTCGAGGGTGGAGTGCATCACCGCCGTCCCCTTCTTGATGGGGAAATGGATAATCTCCTTCTCCCGAAGATCCTCATCAATGTGAGTCGGTGGGGAGCGAGGGGGAGTGACCGCCGGGGCCTGCTCCTCAATGATCACAAGGGGGCCTCTCCCTTCTCAGCGGCCCCCTTCTTTTGTCTCTTCTCCGGAGGCGCAGTGCCCTTCCCGGCTCTCTTCTTCTTCTGCCCCTCGGCTGCGGAGCCCCCGACATCAGATCCTGCCGCATCATTGACAGCTACAGGCTCCTTCTTTGAGGACCCCTCGCCCTCCGGGGCCTTGGTCACATCAGATTTCGGAAAAAAGTCGTTGACAGGCCTCTGGGTGGAGGGCTTCACTCCTTTCTTCTTCTGCTCCTTGTCGAGCTTGTTCCTCATCATGGTGATAGCCTTTAGATCCATGGCAGGCCCTGCAAAATACAAAAGTGTTAGATTCATAACCTACCAAAAAATATATGCTAAGTACAAATACATTAAGCCCTCGGCAACAACCTCCGGCACTTTGAGGAACCATGTCGATGAGGGGGTATCTTTCATCCTCCTCCCCAAAGCGGCGGTAGCGCCCGAAGTCCAGCTTATAGAGCTCATCCGGGAGGGTGACTTCCTTGATGGTCACTTGCTTGTCCGAACCCTCCAGCTTCACTACCAGCTTTTTCCCTTGTTTCTGGAGGGCGGCGCTCCCCACTTTTAGATGCCTCCGGAAGCGGTCTCGGAGAGGGCCTGGGAAGGGACTCGCACCCATGCGGATAAAGCAGAACTTGTCTTTCCACCCTTTGTGAGAAGAGGGGACTTCGGAGAAAAGCCTCCACTCCGGGACCTGTTGCAGATTAGCAAACCCCTCGGCATGGGTGTGCCCCCCTCGGCAAAGGTTGAAGCACATAAAGAAAAGATACAACAACGGATCGACCTACCGGGAGCGACAGAGAGAGAGGAAGCCAGAAATATACGAATGGCCGTTGGGAGTGAGTCGACAAGGGGCCAACTTCACGAACCTCAGGTACTCCAGCAGAAAGGGGTGAAGGGGAAAGCGGAGGCCCAGTTCCAGGGACAACAAGTGAACCGCAAAGCAGCCCTCGAGAGCTTGGGAGAGGACATCATCCGGCTTCGGCTCTATGACGCGCGCCTGAGGGCTGACAAGAAACTAAGCCATTAGATAGTTTGATTGGATAGCCCTCGATTTCAAAGCTAGGGTGGCGACATTCAAATAGGAGTAGCCCTCGGGAATGTCGACAGGTTTTCCCGCATCAACCGCAGCCTCCTTCTCCTTCTTTGGGGCAGCCTTCACTTTCTTCTTCCTCTTACCCGGGGCCACGCTGATGGGTTCCGGATCCAGAGGCCGGTAGCTACTAGCTTCGCCGGCACCACGAAGAGGGAGTGCGGCAACTGTCACTTGTTGCCTCTCTTTTCCTTCCTCTTCCTCAGCGACCTGAAGGGAGAGAGCAAGCTCTTCATCCTCGGCAACCTGCTCGAAGTCTTCGGCCTCCGCTTCGGTCCGAAGTTCGTCTTGGACTTCTTCGGCTATCGCGGAATCGTTGTGCGTCGAAGGCTGATCGCTTGAAGACTCCACATCGGAGACGCTCTCTGACGCCACCGAGGACTCCCTTGATATGTTCTGAGAATCACTTTGCGAAGACATTCGTTTACGCTAGAAACCAGAGGGTTCGAAGGAAGAAGGCCTCCTAAGGGACCCTAACACTAGATCTAAAGGAATGGAAGCAAAATACACCTAGGAAGGCAAGAACAGGAGGAGAACTGACCTCGGAAAACTTGGTTTGATCGAAAATGGGTTTCTCTCTCTAGAAAACACTTGGGCAGAGCTTCGCTTCAATGAAATCGCACAAGGACAAATGAACTCCGACTCAGGGTATTTATAGGCAACCGGGCCTCGAGAACTGGGCCTCGATTTGAAAAGCCCATCATTACGGGCCGCCGGTTCAGCCAATGGATGGCTCCCGCCCGCCTTCAGCCAACAACAGTCGACCACGTCGACCCCTCCTCCAACGGCTATATTACAACGGCTATATTTCGAAAACACCGGAGTACCCTCGAATGATAGCCTCCGGCTATCACTCTCCGCAGCCTTCAGCCAACAAATTCCAACAAGCGCCTTCGAACTAGCAGCAGTATAAGCCTTCGGCTTGTCAATGTTGCTAACACCCAGTCAATAGAACCCCTCGGGGAACTCACCAACACATTATAACTCCTTCAGCCCGAACTTGCCTTCGGTCTAAAGGAGTGGGGGACTGCGATACACCCCTCGGGAATCGAACACAACAGAAAACAAAATTCCCACATGCAGTAACCTACAAATTGACGCATGAAGCCCTCGGGTATATGCATCATCACACCCTTCGGCACAGCAGAATTTCAGGGAAATTCCGCAGAATCACTAACAATGAGGGAGCAGCCCTCGCCATAACACATACAGATATTATATACACTTCCCTCAGAAAACCCTCGACATGTGAGGGACTGAAGGAAGCCTTCGACAAACATAAGGGTGTTATACTTTCCTCAGAAAACCCTCGACATGTGGGGGAATGAGGGAAGCCTTCGGCAAATAGCAGAAGACAAATTCTCAAGCAAAGGCGCCCAACGAAACGATGAAGCCTCCGGAAGAATCAACACAACTACTCCTTTTCCCTCAAGTACCTTTCGGCAAAAGGAGTGAGGGACTCCTGATGGAGTATATGGCCCAGGAACCCCCGGTCCATAGACTCCTACTTCCCCCACAAAGGCCCATTGAGCCCAAGGAGCACCTGAGGCCCAAAGACAGCGGCCCAAGTCTCGAAGGAGCCCAAAATACACACTGGGGTGCCTTCGGCCCCCTTGGCCGAAGGCTCCAAAGCTCACAGGATAGCCTTTTTGGGCATACGAAGTTACTGGGAGAAAAAAGGCGGAAAACAGGAGCCTTCGGCATTATAGAGCCCTCGGCACCAGAGAAGCCTTCGGCTGAACCAAGGCTTCGGCCACACGGAGCCTTCGGCTGCACAGGGGTCCTCGGACACGTGAAGCCCTCGGCTACGCAAGGAGCCTTCGGCCAAACAGGCTCAATCATCGAAGATTCCCTTTGGAGACAGCCAACCACCGCATTTAATGCAACGTCACATCCACCCACCGCATTCAATGCAGTGAACATGCCACTGCCGGTGCCACCCGATTGATGTGACCCCTCGGCCGTTGGATTACTGACACGTGTACTCTCATCGCATTTATTGCTGTTATAAATAGCAGCCCATTTCTCCTTGTAACACATCTCGAGTTCATTGAATACAATCGACTCTCTCTCCTCCTATTTACTCTGACTTCTCTCTAAGTTATTCCTGCAATAACCACTCGGATAAGATACCCCCGGGTAGACTATCCATCAATAGTTTTTTTAATAAAGGTTTTTTTGGATAAATCTTGGGGGGATGACTATAAAAACGAACTAATTAAAAAACATGGTTTTATAAAACAGAGAATGTTGGTTTTATACCAACAGTCATTCAAAATCATTAATTACCTCTTAAAGTTAGAATTAGAGGTTTTGGGAACCCAAAAAGTTAGAACTTAGAGCAGAGAATCTGAACAAAGCTAGCTAATAGAATCTGAAGAAGAAATTCCTTTATAGCTTACCCCAACTACTTAAAAGAATACAAACAAAATAACACTATCAAACTTCACATGAATCGGGATATTATTTCTTAAAAAAAAAGAGCAATATTTTGTGGTAGCAAGTACTAAGGAGCAAATAAGTCATACAGTCATTCTTTCTGAAAATATTATACACAGTATACCACTTAGATGCGAACTTCAAACCACTAATAGAAGAGAAGTAAAAATAAATTGGAATATAAGAAATTTTATTATCCAAGTAGAAGAAAAGAGGCATTTGCCTTTGAGAAGTTATTTCTTTGTTGTCCTCCTGAAGAGTGGCATTTGATGTACTTCATTGTTCATTTCATTATAGTAGCATATCAATAACATAGTACTATTTCACTATGCAAAATAACACTAATATAACAGCACTTCAGAACGTGTTTCTGAAAGTAAAAAGAGAAAAGAAATGAATGAAAATAGTTGCTAAGGAGCATTATGAAAGTTTTTCTTTTCTTCTTATCAAAGATCGGCTAAAACATCATAATCGTATTGGAGGAAACTGGATGAAGCATTACCTTTACACAGTGAGATAGATTGAATGTGCCGATTTGATGTGCCTGGCAGACTGCATAAGGCAATTTGAGCTATTAATAATCCTTGAGGCAATGTTAATGCTCATCATGCTTGGAGTGTTTATTTTTTGCTGCAATACTAAACACTATTATAAAAGCAAAATTTGATTTCTCCTATAAACTACTCCAAGCCACTCAATTAAGGTTTATGCCTACTTTTAGAGTCTACTACTGTTGCTATAATTTAGCTCAAAAAACTGATTTAGAACAATGAATGTGAAAATGGTGAGCACATACAAAAAGGTCATATATCATATCCAAAAAATGTTGAATTCAAAAATATACTAAGCCAACCGTGTTTAATAAACAAAAAAAAACTAAAACTGTAGTTTAGTTTGATCACATTCGGTTATTTAAGCAACTTGCATATTATCTAAACTAAAAAACTAAAACTGATGAGGTGAACTATAAGCACTAATATGATTGTCTCGTATAAACATTTCATCTAGCACCTTATATGCTTTAATCTACCGTATATGCTTTGGTCAATTGGTCCACCGAAAAGTCATTCAAAAACAGAGAAATAAATGCACCAGATTATACTGAATGCCAAAAAATGAATCAAACAATAAAAGTGTGTAGCAATACTAAGATGTTGACAGTTGATAAAGCATAAGTATTCCATAGATATAAATAGTGGATTAAAGATTTGGAATGAGCAGGAGAGGTGACATACTTGTATCATTAGAGAGGCAATATCGTGGATGGAGAGCCCAATGTTCAGGTTTTTTCGGAGATTCGGAGAAGAAAAGGCTGACCTCTACTTATCGGCAGGAGAAGAGCTGATAGTCCAAACACTAAAGCATAATCGCAAGTTGAGAATTTCGCTCGTCCTTCTCTCTAAGAAAATTCGCACCCCCTAACAGTCGGATTTCCTTAGACTCTTGCGCAACTGCTTTGCTCTCTCAAGGAAAAATTCTTCGATTAATCCACTCAAAACCTGTTCTCTCTAGCTCGGATTTCTTCCTAGAACATTATTCCACGTTTGGATTTAAGTTTTAGGGGATTTTTGAGTGGATTTGGACGGAAATTCGAAGACTGGTGCGCAGATTCTACTGTTCATCGTTTCCAAATTTCAGAATTTGATTTTTGATCTTAACTAAAGATTGGACGATTGTTTGCTGATAAAGAGAATTGTTTGGGGGTCGCCTGACCTGGGCGCACCTCCCCACTGTTTTCCCGGCCACCAGAACGCCCGCCGTACCGGAGTTTCGAAGTAGCTGTTGCTGCGGGTTACTGTTCACCGACGGACACTTAAACCTAGATTTCTTCAAATTCTCTGGTTTATTCTGAAATTCAAGATTACTCTGGGGATCGTCTCCTCCTTGCGGTCATTTTGATATCTATTTGAGCTACTATAACGAAGGAAATCAATTTGAAGCTACTGTTCATCGGCCTGTTTCACTTATGCGCAGGTATGACATAGCTAACACTTTATTTCTTGAGTTTGTGTAGGTCTGGTTTCAAACGAAGCATAGGGTGGGGATCGCCATCTTCAGGAGCACATCATACTATTTTTTCAGAATTTTCTGAGTTGTTTCTTGTGAAGTGGGTACTGTTCATCATCTTCAACCTCAAGACTGCAAGCTACAGTGTTTCCTACGAACCCAGGACTAGTTAGGAATTTTTTCTGAACTCCTCACTTATCCTTTGGTCAAACGGAGCATTCCAGTGGCTTCCACGTATCTTGGAGTACATTATATACTATTTCCAGAATTTTTGGAGTAACGTTGGAAGGTTTAATGTTCATCTCCTTCCTCGTTTGAACTATGACGAGGAAGAACAAGCAACATCGAACCCCGCCAACTAAAGACAAGAGTTTTGAGGAGAAAATCAAATACCTTGCTGCAAAGAAAGCTGCCATGGAAGAGGAGAAATTGAAGAAGGGTAACCTGATGAAGAGTCCTCCTTCATCTTTCCCGGTTGTATCTTCTAACTCTATGGAGTTTCATGCCGCGACACAGGGGGCCATGGAGGTCTTACCTCATGATATTCCTGTTATTTCCTCAAATTCCACCTGGGAGGCATCCTCCAAGGCCACGACATCTACTGAAATTGGAGGGCTTGTGAACAACGGTGCTACACCAACTGGGGGGCAACCACACAAAACCGTGGCACATAATGTCAATGCCGCGGCATCACAGGGCTCGGGCGTGGGCATGTCTTTTGGTGAGAAATTACTGGGATTGGGTTCTGCCTCGTCCAAAGCCGCACCAACACAGTTTTTAACATTGGATGAAAATCTTGCTGGGGACAATGAGGAACCCGAGGGGTCTATCTCTCTTGGCTCCCATGATACCGAACCTTTGAAGAAACTGGTGGAAGATAAGGAAGAGCCAAAAAATGGTCTTCTTTATTTAGAGATAACCGAGCTCCTACTAGCGGGCTAAAGCTTGAATATTTCCCTGCTACGGGGGAAAAACTTGATTTCTCACATCTCAAGGTGCCTTCCCTCATTGAAGTTTGGGGTTTTTGTCTCGTGGGTTACTTTTCCGGAAGATTTCCCGGATTGAAAGCTATCTTTGACATGACCAACAAATGGGGGGTGGATGTGGATGTGAAGCCCCATAAAAAGGGGTGGGTGATTTTCATATTTAAAAATGAAGAGGCAAGAATGAAGGTACTAGCCGAGGGGCCATACGTTCTATATGGCAAGACCATGTTTCTCAAGGAGCTATCGGAGGATTTTTCTTTTGATAGTGAAGAATTCTTAAAGGTCCCGATTTGGGTAAAGTTTCCAAGATTGGCATTGAGGCTATGGCAAGCCACCGAGATTGGCATGATTGCATCTCAAGTGGGGGTGTCTATTACTACCGATAGGGTCACACGTGAGATGCAATTCACTAACTATGCCCGTGTACTTATTGAAGTGGATGTTTCTAAGGCCCCAGTACTTCAAATTCCTATTGTCCCTCCTTCGGGCAAGGAATATCTACAAAGGGTGGTCTTCGAATGGTATCCGGAATATTGTTACAATTGTAAAACATATGGTCACCACCCCTTTGGGTGCCCGATTTTGCATCCTCCAAAGGAGAAGAACAAACAAGAGAATAAGGCTATGGGAAAGGAGGCCGAGGCCCTTGACAAAGTGGGGGGTAAATCAAGCGCTACTATGAATGTGGAACCTCCTTTTATTGAAGTGGACCGGCGGAAAAAGAAGGTGGCTTATACGAGGAAGGATCCGGTGGCAAAGGATGTGGCTTCTACATCCAATGCTTTTGTGGCTACATCTTCACCCATGGATAACGCTACACCGGTAACTAAGGCTCCTAATCTAAGGGGCCCGGAGGTGGCTAACAAGGGGATCAACATCTCGAAGGAGCTACTTACTCCATCTTTGAGCATTAAGCCGAGCCCAAGTGTCAAATTTTCTAAGGCTCATCATGACCTTATGGTTATTGCAAAGGATAAGGATGGCAAGGAAGTGTTGGAGAGGATGCCGCGGGGCTATGTAATTAGAAGCATGTATGAGATGGACGCCAAAGACATTGTGACCAGTGTCTTCTTGGATGAAAGGAAAAGACCGCTTGCTACTATTATTGACCTTGATGAGCTTCCGGATGGAGAGCATTTGGTTAAAGTGGGGCCCGACCTCAAGCCGGTGACTAGGGAGGATGCGCCGGGTGTTTATTTCACCCATAGTAGTTTCTTGAAGCTCCCGGGAGTCAAACGCAACTCCACATGGTATGATTTCGACCCGCCTATTTTTTATTGCTAACGTGCTTTCCTTTTTTGATCCTAGTAGCAAGAACAATGTGAGCTACTATAAGGAACTCTTGAGGAGGAAGCGTAGGAGTGAAAAGAAGGAGGTGGCCGAGGGTGGAGGACCCACCACGGATCTTTATCTCTCTTGATGCCGAAGCTCTTGGTATGGAATGTTAGAGGTTTAAACAAAACCTCTAAACATAATTTAATTGCGTCTTATATTAAAGTGAATAATATTTCCCTAGTTTGTTTTTTAGAAACAAAAATGACCTTGGCTGCTCTTAATAACTTTGTTTTAAATAAATGGCCGGGTTGGATTTTTGAAAAAATTTTTGATTTAATTAGTGGGGGACGCATAGCTATCATGTGGAACCCTAATTTGATTAATTGCGTATTTTTGGAAAAGGATAGGCAATTTATGCATGCTAGATGTACTTGTCGTATTACGCAAACATCCTTTTTTGCTACGTTTGTTTACCCGTTGTATACGGTCCTTGAAAGGAAGGAATTGTGGGAACATTTGACCTCGGTTGGAGACCAATTGGTTGAACCGTGGATGGTCTGTGGTGATTTTAATTGCATTTCCGCGCCTAACGAAAGGGTGGGTCCTACCCCCCCCCCCCACGACGTATGTCATGCAACACCTATTTGATTTCAAATTATCCAATAGCCTACAAGATGCACCCTCCACGGGGGAGTTCTTTACATGGAATAGAGGAACGCTTTGGGCTAAATTGGACCGAGTTTTAATTAATGATGGTTGGGGACTTAATGGCATCGGGTGTAGGGTCCGTTTCCATGAAATGGAGGTGGAGTTTGACCATACGGCATCCGTTGTGTCCATTCTCCTAAATTCCTCTCCTAGACCCAAACCATTTAAATTCTTTAACATGTGGCTAAAACATTCGGACTTTCCCAATATTTTAGCTACAAATTGGAACCGGAATTTTGTTGGAACGGCTCAATTTACCTTGGTAAAGAAACTAAAGGGGCTCAAAAGGCCCCTAAAGTTGCTTAACACCACGGAATTCGGCCACATCTCCAATAAAGTTAAGATAGCAAAGGAGGAATTTAAACATTTGCATAAACTAGCACTTCTAGACCCGGGGGATCTAGATATTAAGGCTCGACTGTCCGAAGCTTCAAAGAGGGCTATCTTTCTTGGTGAGGCCGAGGCAACATTTTTTCAACAAAGAGCTAAGGCTACGCATATTCTTGAAGCGGACAAGTGCACCAAATATTTTCATGCAATTGTGAAAAGAAATTTGGCAAGAAATACTATCTCCTCGCTTACCTTGGAGGACGGTACGCTTACTACTTCTCTGGATCAAGTTGGAAATGAATTTGTTAAGTTTTTTGTTGATTTATTTGGTACATATAGTGAATGTCATGCCCTGGACCCTTCGGTTTTACCATCGGGTCCGCTAGTTGAGCCAAGTGCCCATGCGAGCCTAACTGCCCCAGTCACCACTTTGGAAATTAAAACTGCCCTATTTGATATTGGCAACGATAAGGCTCCGGGCCCGGATGGCTATTCTTCGGCATTTTTCAAGAGTAATTGGGATGTGGTTGGGAATGATATAGTCCTCGCTATTAAGGAATTTTTTCGTTCGGGAAAGTTGATAAAACAGATCAATCACACTGTGATAGCCCTTATCCCTAAGACAAATCATTCCCCAAAGGTCTCCGATTATAGACCCATCTCATGTACGAACGTTTTATACAAGATCATTACAAAGGTACTTGCGGCTAGATTGATTCCGTGTCTTCCAGGGTTAATTGATCATGCCCAAGGTGCCTTTGTGGATGGCCGCCTCATGGTTGATAACATTTTCCTTGCCCAGGAACTTGTTAGAGGATACACGAGGAAGCGGATCTCACCGAGATGTATGATCAAGGTGGATTTGCGTAAGGCTTATGATACCATCTCTTGGGAGTTTCTTGACTTGATTCTCAAGGGATTGGGCTTCCCGTCGAGATTTGTCGGATGGATAATGGAATGTGTTACTACGGCCTCATTTTCTGTTTCGTTGAATGGGTCGTTGTATGGGTTTTTTGAAGGGAAAAGGGGCATTCGCCAAGGAGACCCTATGTCCTCTCTTTTATTTGTTCTTTGCCTTGAATATTTTTCCCGGTTACTCAATATGAGAACCAAGGAACCGAACTTTAATTTCCATCCGAAATGTGCGCCACTAAATATTTCACACTTGGCCTATGCGGATGACCTAATATTATTTTCTAGGGGTGATAAGTTTTCCATCGAAATACTTGTCAAGGCCCTACAAGATTTTGGGGACGCATCGGGCCTAAGGGTGAACTATAATAAGTCCAACATTTTTGTTGGTGGCGTAAATGATTTTGACCTTCAAAATATTTTGGATATTGTTGATTTTGGGCAAGGAACTTTCCCGGTCAAGTACCTTGGAATTCCTCTTGCCCCACTTAAGGTATCGGTGGCACAGTATGCCCCGTTGCTTGACACGATCTTTGACTTTTTACATGCATGGAATACGAAATCCATTTCATATGCCGGGAAGATTGAGCTAATACGATTGGTGATCCAAGGGGTCCAATCGTTTTGGCTTCAAGTCTTCTCCGTGCCGCGGACAATTTTGGATCGCATCGTTTCAATTTGCAGGATTTTCCTTTGGGGAGGGAAATACGCCAAGGTGGCGTGGGACGACATTTGCCTTCCTAAAGAGGAAGGGGGGCTTGGCATACGAAACGCTAAGGTGTGGAACCAAGCCCTACTTTCCCGAACACTTTGGGATGTTCATTTAAAGAAGGATACCCTGTGGGTAAAATGGATTAATGGCGTTTACCTTAATGGTAAAAATGTGTGGGATTTTATGCCACATAGCCGAGATTCGAATTTCATGAAGAGTTTGGCATTGATAAGGGACAAGATTAGGGGCTGTTTTAATAATCATAATGATACCATACTTGGATTAGCCTCTAGGTCCGTTAATGGTAAACTAGTTTCAAGTAAAATTTATGAATTGTTGAGAACTAAAGGGACGGTTAGGGTATGGATGAGCTTTATTTGGAAATCTTATATACCCCCTAAGTTCTCTTTCATGACTTGGCTTGCATTTAGGAATAGGCTACCTACTCAAGATAGCCTCGGCTATTTGCATATTGTTAATAGATGTGACCTTTGCAAGGGTGACTTGGAAACAATGTCACACCTCTTTTTTCTTTGTCCTTTCACTTGCAGGATTTGGGGAAAGATTAGGGAATGGATGAGCATGGACAACCAGATGACCACCCTGCAAAGTTCGGTCAAATGGATACTCAAGAAGCACAAGGGCTCAACCTTGAAGGCCAAAGCAGTCCGTCTTGCCTTTTGCGCCGCGGCATATCATATATGGAGGGCAAGGAATGCTTGTAGATTTGATGAATGCACGAAAACCGAAGATGAGATTATTGCAAAGATTAAACATGTGGTGTATAAGATATTGTTTTCCTTGTACCCACATTCTTTGATCACTTTTTGACGCTGGGAGGCTGCTTGCATACGAGGTGGCCGAGGCATTTATGTGGTTGCACTTGGCAACTCTTGAAGTTTTGCTCACTTGGTCATTAGTTTGACCTGAACTTTTATGATCTGTGTGCGTGCATTTTTGGCAGCACCGATGTATTTTTGTATTGGGGGCAGTTTGGTATTTTATACTTAGGCCCCGGTGATTTTGTTTTTGATGTAGATCGACTAAAAACCTCTCTTAACCCCTACACTAGGTACTGGTGGGGGTTTTAGGAGATCTAGAACCCCTGATGTATAATTTTTTCTTTGGGTGTTAATACAAATTTACATTTCATCCAAAAAAAGAGAAGAGCTGATAGTCGATGGAGTTTCTCTTTGATGTGCGGGGGAGATAAACATGGAAAGAAGAGGGCGTTTATTTTTTGGCTGAGGAACTATCCCAATCTCCCAAGCGGTATATCCCAATCTCAGCCAATCAGTTGAGGAATTATCGGAGAAGAAAATGATGTGAGCTTATGGGTTGTGTATTTCAACGCAAGAAGAGTTCTTACTTTGGAATCGGAGGTTTTTCTTCTCCTGAAATGCAAAAAAAGAAGAAGACACATGGATCTTCGAGAGAAGGAGCGTGAATTCAGGGCAAAATTGTAATTTAAACAACCTATTCTTTTCTTATATATAAATAGATTGGAATAAAATGAACCCACTCCTACTCGTTTGTTCGTATTTTTACAATAAGAACATAGGTTATTAATAAATTTAAATTAACATCACCTAACTCTCGAGAATCTGGAAAAACCTAACTAAAATTGAATAACCTCCATCAATCAGATCCTAAACTTAAATATTGAAACTCGAGATTGACTTGAAGCTTGGCATTTAGATGGATGCCAAGGGAAACTACTCCTCACTTTCCAGTGTGGGAGGTATAATAGTTAATGAGGGGATTCAAACTCGGGTTGCTAGTGAAGTCTCCAAGGGAAATTCCACCTCTTCTATTCACACGTGTGTCTAATGTTGATGTCAAATGTTTTTTAACTTCATTCCCAGTGAGCTAATGAAAAAACTAATACGAAGTACTTATTATCGATTACAATTATTACAAATAATGGTAATAATAATACTTCATCCGTATTTAAAAGATCAATACATCAGGTGTTGGCACAATATTCAAGGGCGACATAGTAGGGGTAATGAATAGTGTAGAAAGGTGGAAAAAGAAGATAGAAAATAGAAAAAGTAAGAGTAATTGAGTATTTTTAAAGGAAAAACTTATCACAAAGGAAAACTGTAGCAAACTTTAAAATACATCCTGTTGAGGTTTACTCTTCAGGATCCAAATGCCCAACCCAGTCCTTTGGGCTTCGTATCCAAATGCCCAACTCAGTCCTTTGGGCTTCATAGGAATGAATCAAATAGATGAGTATTTAGGTAAATGTTTAAGGGCAATTAAAGTGCAAGAATAAGCCATAAGTAAGCACAAGTGAATCCGATTCTATTCCACCAAGTGAATCCGATTCTATTCCACCAAGTCAAACAAATGTTGAACGTGAATTTTGATCCTTTATGCAGAGCTAAACTATTTGGAAACTAGAGAGAAGTATATTGATAAGAGTACAAAGTTGATAATCCTTTACAATGAGGTAAATGCTGATATTTATACTACAAGTGAGTAGGTGAATGGGTGACGTGACCGGCCATGAGTGGATGAACCTCGGCCCAAGTGACATATTTCAACGATGACATATTTCACGATGACATAGTGACATTATTAATGGCATAGTGACACGTTTGATGGTGAGAGTGACATATGAAGTGACATGAAAACCGACAGTGACATTCAAAAGTGACATAAAATTGCAGTGACATAAAATCTGACAGTGACATACAATTAGACAGTGACGTTTGTTAGTCATATTTTTGTCCTTTTAGAAAAATGATTATATTTTTGGAAATTGACTTTAATTTAGTAATATTGAAGGAAAAAGTCCAAATATATTTTATTGAGAAATACTTATATGCTAAAAGTTAAAATAATGATCTTTAGCATATTCAATAGAAAATGACTTCAATTTTACGGAGTACTTATTTTGATTATCAGAATGCGCAAAATCAAAAGTCTTGACTTGGTAAAGAAAATTGGTCTAAAAGCCAAAAAACTTGGTGATCAAACAAGTTCTACGTTATTGGTTGTGAGGTTAATGAATGGTTATCCTTTCATCCAAATTTCCCACCATTCGATCAACTAAGCTACCTGTGGGGTAATGAATTGTTATCCTCATTACATTTTTAGTGGGGTGAGATCGATCGAGTCAATGTCCGGTTTTTTATAATCTCGAAATTTACACATAAGATCTCAGCTTATAAAAACTATGCCAAAATAAGGCTCATTATTTATATTCAGTCTGAACTCTGAACGAGGTGCTTTGTAGTTTGGGTTCGGTCCGAGTTTCGGAAAGAATTGATTTAAACCCCAATATGAAATCATCACACTAAATCTATTTTCAAATAAAGGTACTTAGAAATACAAACATATTATAACACAAATAATAGTCTCCGAAATTACTAACACATCAAATTCAATGAACATAATTTATTATAATAATGTGTTTAAGACACACACCAAAAACAAAATTGATATACTTTGAGCCCGTTTGATAGCACGAAAATCGGCTGCTTTGACTGATTCTGTTGAAATTTATGATATTTTGGCTGAAGTGGCTGCATTGGCTGATTCTGCTGATTTAAAAAAAATATTTTTAAAATATATTTTATTGATAAAATAAAGAAAAAAATATATGTAAAAATAGCTAAAAATGGTCACCTACAGTAACTTCAGCCGATACAGCCGGAAAAGTAACTTCAACCTTACTTTTTCTGCTTATTACACAATTCAGCGCGTGAAAGAAAAAGTTATGTGTTTGGTGAAAAAGTTGACTGATAAGCCTGATAAGCCAAAAAACAATGTTGACAAACGGGCTCTTCTTATTATACTATTTTGTATTATGGGTAGCAGTTTCGGGTTTTGACTAGTTGGAGGGTTACAGTTTTTACTTTTTAATGACTAACAGTGAACCCGAATTTCAGGTACGGTCAAATTTTGTAAGCACCGCCAAAAAGAGAAAAAACCAGGTCAGTGAACCCTTTGAGATCAAGTGCAAGATCTAAAGCCGGATGGATAAAACTCCACGCAAGGGAAGAACTTTTTGAACAACAAAGTGTCTAAATCATGTCTCGAAACTTAAGCCCTTTGAGAAAGCTTCAGGGACGATAATAAGTAGGGCTGGGTCTGAAAAACCGAAAACCGAATCAAATTAAATCGAACCGCGACCAAATAAAACCGAACCGCTAAAAACCGAAACCGAATGTAAAAAACGAACCGAACCGTAGTAGTTTGGTCCGGTTTTGGTTTTTACCCTTCAAAACCGAACCGAACAAACGGAACAAAAATAAAATATGAAATTTTATTTGTTAAATGTAATCATTAATCTTAATATCATCAATAATCTTTGAATTTCTTGTGCTAGAGAAATAATGTTTGTGCTATGTTTAGTTTAGTTTATAAATGCATTTACACATTCATTACCCATAATAATGTAGCTATATTGATCTATTATGTCTTTTATGTATGTACGTTGCAATTTGTTGCAGGATTATATGTTTTTACTGGTTATTAGTAGTAATTAACTTTTATTTTTATGTAATTTATTTTTTTGTAACTTAAATTTTTTATATTGATAAAACAAATAAATATTCATCTCAGCTATATCACATAGGACGTATGTATTCATAAACTTTTTTCAAACTAGTCACAAACAATGTAAATTATTGTTCATGTATCTCTCCCGCATACTCATATAATTCATGACATATTTGTTTTTTTGTGTGACATATTTGTTTATTATTCTTTTCTTTATTTGTTCAAGTATGCTAGCATAAATTTTTATCTAATATGTTTGATCCCTCCAACTTTTATATCAATTTTAAATCAAATGACATGTTTTTAGTAAAAACCCGAAAAAACCGAAACCGGACCGAAACAAACCGAACCAATCAAACCGTGGTTCCAAGTTTTGGAGTGTAAAACCGAACCGAAACCGAACCGAACTTTTACTTTGGTTCCGTATTTGGTTTAAGGTCAAAACCGAACCGAAAGAGCCGAACCCACCCCTAATAATAAGAAGTGAGGATAGCGGATTACTCCTCTTTATGGCTTGATATAGGCAGCCTTCAGATTGCCCATTAGCAACTTCTTAATTTGATTATTATAACCAAAATTGTCCACTGCAATTTCAAGGAAATTCCAAGAAACTCGATCCAATCTATGTAGCACCGATACGGATACGCGGAAACGCGGAAACGGGTACGAGGATACGACAAAACAAAAAAAAAGTAGGATACGGATACGGGACCATATTTATAAATATTAAAAGTTATGGGGGTGTATTTATAAATATTAAAAGTTACAGGGGTTTATTTATAAATATTAAAAATGCCATTTTTTAAAAAAAAATAGACATATATGATCCTCTGACGTCTACTCATTCATGACATTATTGAAATATTTTACATTTTCAAGATAATTTGAAATAAGTTCATATTTTATCTCATATACACTAGTGCATCTCGAATATAAATATAGTCAATAAGTCATTAATTTAAAATGAGAAATAAGTCAAACAACTACAGTTTTGAAATTAAATGTATAAGTACTCAAAGTTCTAAAATAATGAAGATAGAATACAATATTTTAAAAGTTCTAATACATATTTTCGTTGGAGCTATTAATTTTCAAGGATAATTAGAATTAGGGATAGGAGGATGAGTGAATTAAGAATAGGCCAATTAGTTGTGTACCACATAAAAGCAAAGTAAAAATTATTTTTAGTTTATCATATTTAAAGAATTTTATTATGTAAATTTTGGGTGTTTTCTAAAAAAGTTTTTTTTGGGGATTTTTTTTTTATTGAAAAGTTGATACGGGTATCCGTCAGGATACGAGTATCCGAAATTTTAAAATAATTACCAAAAAAATGGAAACTTCTAAAAATTTCAGATACGGCCCGGAAACGTACGGTACGGGTATCCTAGAGTATCGGATACGGGAACGTTTCCGATACGCCGATACGGCACTTTAGTGAAGTATCCATGCTTCATAGGATCCAATGCCTTTGCCATATCTAGTTTTACAATATTGGATGAACATTTCATATGCAACTAGGACCTGGTTTTTATTCTCGCTTCCTTTCCTGAAGCCAAACTATCCTCTAGAGATTATTTTTGGCAGAGTTGATGTCATTGTGCTTGCAAGAATTCTTGGATTCAAGTTACTAAACAAAAATATGCATAAAATTCCCAAAAGATGCATGATTGTTTTTCTTAGGAATTAGCATTATATTAACACTGCTTATGCCTTTAGGAATATAACAGAGGATGCCATCTTTTTTAACAATATCCCATCATCCCCTATAAAACTGTCCCCCAAATCCATCTGGTCCAGAGGCAAAATCAACACCTAAATTCCAAACAGCTTCCTTGATCTCCTTATTAGTTGGTAGCATCATCATACTAAGGTTATCTTCATGAACCTCACAACCATAAAGTAAAATAGTATATACTTCATATAACAGAAAATGAAAAATCAAGCTCGAATGGACAATGAGTTCAACACCACATTACTCCCAGAAATTGTGAGCCGCATTCCCATCTTTTTTCAAATGTTTGACTCCTCACCTTCGCTATGAGGTCATAGATGATGGGGGTTGACTTGTATGATAGCAGCAATACAAAGACAACTCTTCATCTAATACTCATCATTTACTACAGCATGATCAATTGAACTTTAAGGAAGTACAATTTTTTTTAATCCAAATGTAAAACTCCATCTCAAGGGAATTTGTCTCAATTGAATTTTAAGCATGTCCAAATTTACCAAAATGAAGAATTAGATCCAAAGTAGCAAGTAAATAACTAAAATATTGCACCAGCCTTTAGATGTGTCCGTAATTAGTCCACGCTGCAAAACAACGAAGTCACTTTGTGCTTTAATGTCGTCCAAGTTATCTATTGCATAGACTCTTGAATTCCTCTAATTTAGACCTAAAGATTATCAAAAGCTCACGAAAATGCAATGACCAAAATCACCAAAATCAACTAATTTACAACATTTAGTTACTGGCTCCATAGTAATCACCAAAATCAACTAATTTACAACATTTAAACAATGACCAAAAATGCATGATAAAACGTCTGACAAAAGTGTCATAATGTGAGTTTATCAGTGAACTTAACCAGCCAATGGAGTCTTGGTTTAATAAGTTTCTTTTGTTGCATGCATATATATTTAGGTCTTTCATGCATTACAACAGATCGCCGCACATTCATCCAGGAATAATATTCAATTAATGCCAACTCTTTGTTAAAAGCGAAGTCTTGGAAAATGCATTATCTTTGAGTACAGCCAGTCAGCGAACCTAATGATAATGTAACATAAAATCTTTTCGAAAAAGAATGTCTGTAGCTGAACAAACATGATCTAGTTTTCTGTTTTAATTTCCAAAAAGAAAATGCAAAACTAGAAAACTGTCATGACCAATTTTCTCAAACAATTTACATCTTTAAATGCTTGAAAATAATGTCAGAGTGTCGTTGTAAAGACATTGCCGCATGAAAGCATGAAAAAAACATGAAACAAGAATTGTAGAATTGCCACATAGCCACATAGGTTACTATAAGTGGTGGTGAGTCTGTCATGTAGCTACCCAGCAAGAGCAGCCGCCAAGTATCCGACCTTTCCATCCCTGCATTATCCAATTGCCATCTTCCAGGAAAAGAAAATCTTTGTGATATCCTTTTCTTGCCATGCGTCTTAACTTCTTCGCAAGTGTGGGGTTTATAGCCCCAGGCTTGAAGCCAGCCCGCATGATGCGAGAGTGCCACTGCCTGCATGTTTCGGGCCTTTGGAATCTTTCCTTTCCCTCACATGCTACGATATTCATTATTTCGCATCCCACAACTTCTTTTTCCAAATTCAATCTCTGATTATCATTGTGCGGTAAAGTAGCATCAAGCATATCAAATATAGCAGTGTAGTAGAAGACAGCCTCTCGAAACCGACTGATAAAGAAAGGAGAGTTTTGTGATCCACTACTCACAGTTTGCGTATATATATGAGGATTTGCTTCCCGGATTAAGTTTAAAACGGCACCTCTAGGGTTGTCCGCACCAACTGCTGTCTCATCCAATAAGTGCTGGAATTTAACAATACAGTTTACAGCAATCACCTCACCGCTCACAAGCTTCAATTCATGAATCTTGATTCTCTCCCAATTGCTTGTTGTTATGGCATTGTATTCAAATGGTACACCGAAACGCTCACAATATTTTGCCAATCGACAACCGGTCTCCTCCACCATTTGTGACGGACGAAAACCAGGTTGGGGAAACTCAATCCCTGTTATTCGAAGTTTTGGAGGGCCACCGGGTCTTTGTGAAAGATCCCGAATAAGTGTGGGCCACTGGATACCATAATTAATGCCAAAATCTATAATGTGCAGTGATTCACATTTTGACGCAACTTCGTAAATCATTCCATTTGAAAATAAAATTGATACTCTCATAAATGGCCAAGATGACATGTAGGACTTGAGCATCTCAGCAATTATGTTGTTATTAGGAGAAAAAGCCATATACAGTTGTGTCCCAGTTCCAGCAAGTCGTGCCTCAAGACCTTCAGCAAATGCATGAGCCATCCTTTGGTTCGCATCGCCGGTAGGCAAAGACTGCTGTCTGATCTTCTTTAATTGATCTGCTGCAGCCCTATAATCAGCAGCAACAACAGATTGTGCGCAACTCATTAACAGAGACTCCAGATCCACAATTTCACCACCATCTCTTCTTTTCTTTATATGGCTCTTGCAACCACTTCGCTTTTCCTGCTGTGTGCTAACTCCAGATGGAGAATAATTATCATCTGTACACATCAAAACCTTATCAAACACCTCTGATAACTCAACCTCCTCCTGATACACTGCAGAGTGCTTGCTTCTATTTTCTTCTTCTAAACCACTTTCATCTAGAGGGTAATGCTTCTTTCCTCTACACAGATCAGCTGAATGGTCCTTCTCTATTTTGGTAACAACATCTCCATTCAATTCCTCGCTAGGAGAAACCAAGTAATCATCCACACCTCTCTTCAATTGCAAGATGGACTCAGTGCCATCATTACAAACTATTTTTGGAACCGAATTAGCACTTAGGAAAGCATCTATTTTTAACCGATCGGAGTTAGTCTGACTTAATGATGACTGAACGGGGATATCAGGATGACTACTTGCCACAGAAGATCTAGGTTTTCCAAAATCGACACTACAGTTTGTGTCCGAGTTAAAGAGATCAATGCGCTGAACATCATACTTGGAGCTTCCAGCATTGCTATGAAAAGTTGATGAATGGTCGTGATGCAAGGCTTCATAGTAGGAACTCTCAGCAGCACTAAGAGCAATGGGATCAAAATACATGTCTGGGTTGTTCCCATCAATGCTCTCCTCCTCCAATAGATATTGAGTAAGGTAATTGTGAACAGGACCAGAGTCCAATGTAGGATAGTAAGTACCAAACTCAGTGAGAGATTGTGTGATTGGAGGGGCATTGTTGTCGATGTCGGGAATATCTAAGGATTGTTGAAAGGTAGAAAGCATGACCTGATTCTCCTGCTCGTATCTGTTTAAAGAGGAGTCAAGCAAGCTTCTTAGTTGATGATCCATATCCATTTATGACGATATGTAATCTATACCAACATATGGAAGATGAGTAAAGAAACAAATAAAAAATGCAACAGTGTTCAATATAGCTACTCTTTATTGTCTAGTAAATCAATTACGGAGTACATTTTTACATACTTATTTTTGTTTATCATTAACTCATCTTCTAAACATTACAAAGTCAAAATGGACTTCATAAACCCACAAATTAGACCCAGTACAATTGCAATAAAATAACATTCTTGTATGGTGAACGGCCACATTCCTGCACATTGTGGCAGTTTTGATCTCTCCATGTCAACTAATTTACAACGGGGGATTAAAATGGATATAGTTGAGAAAAATCCAGCAAAAGTACAACCAGTGATGTTTTCTTGCAAAAGCAGGGAGAGAGTGAGAAGCTATCATTGCAATGGCTGTATAACTGAGGGTGTATGAAAAGTATTTTACCCTTTGGATTAGTTAGTTACTCAACGATAGTTGGTCTGGTAGGGGGTGTAAAAAAATAACATTGAATGTAAATGTAGATCCTCTGCCTGGCAGGAACTATGTCAGGTCAGCCAAAATGGGACTTGGAAACTTTTGGAGTTTAAGCGGGGCCAATCCAGTATGTTTTAAGACCTAGGGCCAAAAATTTAAAATGAGTGTATTCTTAAAACAATTGTAGAACTTTTTTCCGTCTAAAATAACATGCATAAGAATAATAATAATAATAATTCAAGACATTTATAAAAAATTGTAAAACGCTCTTCTGTCTAAACCAATAATATTATCGACGCCTAAATCCTGCCTCCAATGACGTGATCATTCTGGGTTGTTTCATTTTCGGTAGCTAAATCATTCTTATTCTATGAGTTCTTATTTTGAAGAAGACATTCAGAATTTGACTTCTTTACACAAACAGACTTTTTCATTGAACCTTTCTTTTTCACTTAGCGCCTCTTTCTCTAATCTTCTGATTCTTCTCCTCCTTTTTCTTTATTTTATCCAGATTCAATCATTTTTATTACACCTTCAAATTAATTAAATTTATAAATTTAATTATAATTGAAATTTTTTATCTAACAGAGTCACCAAATGAATAACAATCAATAAATAACAATCAACAATTAAGAAATGAAACAATCAACAACAAATGAAATCAATTAATAAAATAATCAAATAATCATATTAGACTAATTTGCCTCCAAGTGGATTTTTTTTATTCCGTATAAAATTTTGAGAGAATGTTTTCCATCAAGTCTACATTGTGTCCATAAAATTTCAACTTAAAATTCAATTGGGAGGCCACTTAAATAAATTATTGAAAAACATTGCGCCAAAATATGCATAAAAATGTAGTGTTTTTCAATAATTTATTTAACTGACTTATAGATCGATTTTAAACTGAAATTTGTGGACATAATCTATACTTCAAGAATTAAACTTGCCCCTGGATTTCCTTCATTTTTTGGGCTTGAGCGCCCGCCCACCCTAGGGCGCCCCTGTGTTTAAGGCAAGACGCCAAGACCCCTGGCTTTAAACCAGGAAGAGGATCAGATCACATAATACTTCAAGGAGTTCAGCATACAGAGTGATATTTTTCCACACACACACAAAAAAAAGGTGTATATGATTGACTGACTGACTATATGAGACTCAAACAGAACATGAATCGAATAAAACAGGCACAAAATGGAATGAATTCCAGATTTTCATTTTTCACACATAATCATACTTTTGAACAATCAGTGAATTAACCTGAGTTCAACTTCTACACTGCACCGCAAACAAGATGAGAGCGTACCTTTGAGGGTGTGAGAAGAGGAATAAAACTTCTCGGAAATTTGAGGCTTGAGGGATTGCAGCAAAACAAATGCGCTTCGTAAATCAGTGTCAGCTTGATCGAGAAATTAATGGCGTCGAAAGCTGATCTTGTCGGCACTTTTAAAAAGAAGTTCATTTCTAACGTGCCTAATACGGAGTACTAATTTTGCGCCAAAAGTCGACGCCCAGGAGGTAAAGGAGAAGCACTGCGAAGACGGAAGATTGCGATCAACTTTGACAGTTTTACCGCGGGAGATAGGTAGTTTATTTTTTACTAAATAAATAAATAAATTTTTAAAATAAACAAAAAGTCAAAAAGGACTATAAAAATAAATATAAAGTGGTAGAAAGTAAATTTATGTAATCTACCTCTATATAAAAAGAGGTGGAAAGGCAAGTGGGTTTCCCGCCCAAACATCCGGGTCAACTAATGGGTGGGCACTTAGAAACGGGTTTTGTTTTGTTGTTGAGAAAACAATACAATCCATTTAATGCTCAACTAACGTGGAAGACACGCTGGTCAAGAAGAGACTAACATCCCATTGGCTGATTTTTTTAAGCACCAAAAATAAGTTGAAAGTTCAGTCTAGCATTAAATGCAATGGTGCGAATCATCCGATATATATGGGTTGTTGAGCTTTGCATTTAATGAAAGAAAATTCCACCACAAATTTCAAAGTGTTTCTTTTGTAATAACCAATGCAAGAAGTGAATTGTCAAATCCCACATTTAATGCTCTGAAATTCTGAATGATGAACATGATACGAGATTTAGATTCTCATGACATATACGTAGTACATTTAAAAAAAATACAGTAGCAGTCCACTATAAATCTGAAATCTTTACAACGGAAACACCACATTACAAAATATACAAAAACGCCCTCAATGGCAAATAGGATTGGTATGGGTAGTGAGAACATAAGACATGCCAGCTCTACGGGAAGACATAGACATGAAGAGCTGAGGTGCAAATCTGCTACATGTAGAGTAACACTTCCTGACGGGATGATGAGGTACTTGCAGTTAATTCATATGCTTTTCACAATAAAACAAAAAAGTTTAATTTATATTTGAGATAGCACTGAACGGATAAAACAGTATGGGATTTAAAAAATGGGCATAACAATTGGGGCTTGAGGAATTAGGTAAAAAAGGTATTTATCATACACTACAATAAGCTTAATATTTATCATATTTAAGGTCTTCTACAAACTGTAATCCAATTTTTCTGTCTCAAGGCACTAACTTATTAAGTTGCCTATTTTCAGAGTATTTGTACTGCGAAAAGAGAAATTGGAGCTACAAAAAAGATGGGTGAGATACTCCTGGGAAGGACAAGGTACTACTAGACTCAGTCCACTCTATTGTACAACTTGGTCATTATTTCACCTAAGTAAATTACTTAACTAAGCTTTGTACCTAATTATGCAGGTTGATGCAGATGGAGATGAAAACCCAACTTTTCATGAAGTGGTTAGGATTGAAATGAATAGATCATACCTAAGCATTTGGCTGTGGGTAAGGACCCAACATTCCATATTTTAAATTAATTAATAATTACACTCACTTATGAATATTATATTAATGGGCCCATATTGAATGACATAGAAAATTTGAAAATATAGTAGAAAAACATATGTAGTATATTTATATGATAAAAAGCTTATGTTATAACGGAAACTGATTTCACACAAACTGAATTTGTATTCAGTGAACAAAATACTACCTCCAAACCCAAAAATTTGTATAATTATAATGTCCATATCTTGCTACGTTATAAAATAATGAAGTGCTATTGATATGCAATGTGTACTTACCTACACACAAATAATTGTAAAACAGTTTATAAATATTATTGCAAAAATGTCGATTGTATAATTATTAAAACTATTTTCCGGTTTGATATAATTCAGTATTTAATAGAATGTGTACACAGGAAAATAACCTAATTGAGTAGATTTACAAAACGGTGTAAGCCCTTTTAACTAAGCTTAAGAAGTGAAAACATATTAGACATCAAAGAAAAAAACCGACCGCCACTTTTTAACACAAGAAAAAACAAGATCAGTAAGTCAATGCAAAAAGTGATAGCAATCGATGATATACACAAAGTCAAAAGCAAGAGAAAATAGTATGTAGTAATTTGTAAGCATTTAGTAATATTAAATGTGTAGGTCGGAGAGGTAAGCCATATACCCGAATCGGGATAGGAGTGAAGACATGGTCTGAGGAATTCCAATGATCGAAAAAAGAATTACTTAAGCCACCATCTTCCAGCGATCGGATAATGAAGTGCTAGATTGGGGGCTAATAATCAATGAGAAGGATAGTAAAGGAGGTTCAAGTGTTCAACTCAGCTACGGTATGAGAGGCCGTCGGATCAACCGATGGTCCTCTACATGATGTGTACGTAGAGTGGTTAGCAGCGGCGCAGGGGATATGAACGGTTTATATATGTCATGTGTAGGGTTGTATTGGTTGGGCATTTAATATGTACTCCGTAGTATTAATGGGGTAGCCAGATTGGGCTGGATTTGGACTGCATAATTGGGCTTCTTTAATTTTTAAAGGGCTGATATATGAAATTATATTGTAGAAGTGGTCTTGAATGTATGGGAAAATTTATCTTTGTCATAGTTTATACGGAGTATCTTAAAGTGCAAGTGTTTTTATATTTTATACTACATTTATATTGTACTCCCTTCGTTCCGTAATTGTTCGTTAAATTGACTTTTCTTGGTCAACGACAATCACTTTTAATACGGATTTATTTTGAATATGAAAATAATATCAAAATGTTCTTTGTTTAAAGTATTTATGTAAGAGTATAAAATTTATAAATTATATACAAATATAATAATTAAAATCAGTGTCCAAAGTTTGTCATTGTTGATTAAGAAAAATCAATATGACTAACATCTTAGGGGCATAGGTAGTACAGAGTATATTTCGGTATTTTAAGTTTTCTTTTTCGAACCTGTGTTTTATTTTATACTACGTACTCAATATTTATAATATTCTATACATTATCCGTCTCATTATACATGTCTTATTTTATTTTCCTTTTTGAGTTGTAATAAAATAAATGTTTTTTGTGAAAATAAATATGAAGGCTACAACATGTCATTGTATTGTATTCAAATCTCAATCACACATTTTACATTTTTAACCACTATATTAATAATCATGTCAAATCAAAACAAACACATAAAATAAGACGGAGGTAGTAGTTTATAGTTTTTACGTAGTAATGGTAGTATACTTTACATGTTGTATGTATTTAATTATTTGTAGTATTGAATCCCAAATGTGTGACCCACCCATGCTCATATTGTTATACTTCCTACATCCCACTAAAAATAAGACAATAGGAAGTGACATGCAAATCAATAAAAAATGGTTTATGTTGTTAATATTGAATTATAAAAGTAAAAATAAAGTAAGAATGATTTAGAGCTGCACAAACTTTATCAAATTTGGTATGAAACAATCTAAGTGGGACGGATCGAAAAGGTAAAATAAGACAATCTTAACGGGACGGATGAAGTATATGGAAAATGGAGACAAATTTCTTATTCCAATGTATAGTGATTGAATTATACTTGCACTTTTTAATTGTAGAGTTTTTATTATAGAACGGTTTATAATATACCCCTGTTTCCTTCTCATTTAAGAATTATAAATTTATGATCCTTCCGTGTTATTGTTAGTGTATAAATTGTAGAGTGTATAAATTTATCTCTCTATTTAATTTTGTTCCGTGAATCGCACGGGTGGGAATCTAGTAAATTAAGGAAAAATGGACAACAATAATATCATCTTTCATCGTTGTCTTCTCAAAATAATCTTACTTTTTTCGTCTTTTTGATTCTATTTCTTTTCCGAATTTATACATTCTATTTCTCACTTTATTAAGAGAGTTTGTCTTGGTGCTTCGACGGTAGGCGGAGTGTTTTAAAAGGCTTAAGGTATGGCCAAGCTTCAAGATTTTGAAGTCTAGGCATGATTAGAAGTTTTACATTTTTATTGATAATAAGTAGGAAAAATTGACAAGAATAGTTCCACCTTTCACTGGTCTTCTCATAATAATATCACTTTTACATAATCTCAGAATAATCTCACCTATGCACTTCATCTTCTTTCACTGGACCCTGACCAGGTTTTTTACCCTTTCTCTATAAATTTTTAAAGATATAATAAAAAAGCGAATGATGAGATTATTTATATGATTTTTCCAAGAAAGTGTAAAAATATGGTATAGTAGGTCATCAACAGGTTAAGGTCCAATGAAAGAAGATGAAGTGTAAAGGTGGGGATTATTCTGGGAATACGTAAAAGTGGGATTATTATGAGAAGACCAGTGAAAGACGGGATTATTTTTGTCAATTTTTCCTAATTAGTACTCTTTACGTCCTTTAAAACTTTGTCATCTTTCTTTTTTGGGTTGTCTAAACAATTTTGTTACTTTTCCTTTTATCAATCAATTTGTAATTCTTGTTAGTTCTCTCTCTTCTACATAAAATTCAACCACACACTATTTACGTTATCATCTCCGTGGCAGTCAAACTTGACAAAATTTTAAGGGACATGGGGAGTATGTCATAGACTCATAGTGATTTATGATTTTATAAAGAAAAAGGTGTTCAAAAAAATATTATACAAGATTTAGCTTAACTTTTATTTTACTCAATCTATATCTAAAATATTATAATAGTGAATGAGGGTAAGAGCACTTTAGGTATCAAAAATGTGTTGGTGTAATTACAAGCTGATGTAAACTTGTACTTTGAGCTAATATCATTGTGCCTCACCATCTTTAATACCTAATAAATTTGCATCGGACCGTAAGTTAACTGACTGTCAAATAAATTACTCCAACAAACTCACACGGTTCTTATTTTTTTCCAATGCTCTAATCTTTCCTCAGTTTTTTTTGCTTAGCAAATATACTTATATACTACGTAACAAGCTAAACTATTATCATATTATTATTATTATGTGATTTATGAGTATGGAACTATGGATCTCTTTATTCCTTTAGTAGAATCATCAACACTACTTCTTTTTATTAATTTAGAGTCCATTTAGTAACGCTTAAATTTGCTAAATAGTTATTGAAAATGAAGAAATGCTTGCTAAAGTGGCTGAATTGTCCAAATATGTTGAATTATAGAAATA